AAAGGATCAGAAACAAGTTCTTACAACTTACAAGTTCTCCTTTATTGGAAGAGGAGGTGAGCATGGTGTCAAAATTTCCTTCTTTACATCCCCGCCAACCAAAAAAACTCCCATATGCATGGGGAAATATTGTGTATGAGTTAAAGAAGTGTCAAAATGAACTTTTAGCAGTTAAGTGTAAGTATAAATTATGAATGATATAAGTAGAACTTACCAGTTAACAGTTTGCCCAATAAGAAGCCCTCCTCAGACAGCGGTGGGGGTGAATTTAATATTGCACTTCTTTGCGTCACGACAAATACGTGAACACAGCGAAGGAAGATGACAAAAAAGAAATTGATGCAATTACTGTGCTCAATAGGTGTAACAGCAGAGATTTGTACGATAATCTGTGGAGTTTTAAGTAGTGTGTAAAATCCATTAGTTCAGCTGAAGATGTGATGGGACTTCTTAACCCATTCCCTTTTATAACAAGACCCTATAATTCGTCAATTTTTCTTATCACTTTCGACATCTGAACAGAACCGAAAAGTAGCAACATCAACCAAAAGAAACCTTTATATAGGAATTATTATTCTCAGATTTATTGTGGCCATTTTCTGCATAAACCTGTGATCTTTAAGAAAGGAAAACGAGCTTGAATAGAGACAGCCGAAAATTGTTCTTAATTGTAATTGATATCTCAATAAATCTTTCCTACTAATGTTATTTTAATTTCATGAGCTAGGAATTTGGCAATTGAATTTTGAAAAATTATTTTCACAGTTCAGTTCGGATTCTTTTATATTGTGGTATTTGCTTGAGACAAATCAGATTGAATTCAAATAACAAAATGATTATTTTTTATAATGTGCAAGCCCCAACTCCACTGAACACTGCAGTTGGAATGTACATGTGTTTTGACAAACACTCACATACAATCACAACTTATGTAAAAAGATCAAGTTGTCATGTGCTTTCCAGTTCTGGTTTACTTCTGAATGTTCCCCATTTGCGTTAAATGCTGATGACGTTACATTGGGTCAGTCCTTCCGCCCGCGTGTCCGTTGTACACTCTAGTTTTCCCGACGATATCTCAAATCCTCTTATAGCTATATATCAGAACTCTTAAACACAACATAGAAAAGACTTTTGTTGATTTTGAGGTTAAATGTCAAACATTCATTATGGTTTCTAACCTCTAGTTCTCTTTTTGTCCCCAACTTTCGCGAAAGCGAGGGGACACTAAATCTCATTCGTCTGTCAGTCTGTCTGTCTGTCACAAAAACTTTAACCTTGGTCATAACTTTTGAATGAGAAGAAATACTAGGACTTTCATATTTCAAATGTACAGTACCTGTGGCAAGACCTTTACAAATATACTGTGATTTTTAAGCCGTTGACCTTAAACTTTGGCCTACTTTTCAACAATTTTAATATAACTTTAAATTGATTATAATTTTTGAAAGAGAAAAAATGGAGGTTTCATATTTCGCATGCATATCACTTGTGATAAGACCTTTCTAAATATTTAGTAAATATACTATTTTTTAATCTAAGACCTTGATCTTGAAGTTTGGCATACACAAATGTAATCTTCCCTTATAACTTTTGATCGGATAGGACTTTCATACTTGACACGATGCATTATCTGTAACAAGTACGCAAGCTCATTGAGCTCATTTTCATAGGTTAAAAAAATAAAATTTTCGCGTTTTAACGCGAAATTTTCGCGAATAAACGCGTAACATTCGCGTTATAACCCAAAACTTTCGCGAAAGTTTTTAATCTACGAAAATGAGCTCAATTGGCCTTCGTAAACAAGATGTTTCCGAGCATTCTATGATTTTTTTAACCCCATATTAACCTTGATGTTTGACTTAAATTAAGAAGAGAAAGAGGGAAAAAAAAAACTTTGTTTATTACTGTTGAATGATATAAATGTCATATTTGACACAATATCGTAATTATGGTCTCCACTAAGACATCAAAAGCGGGGAACCACAATTCTTTGAATTTGCTTGTTGGCCTTTGAAATGAAATTTTATTCATTTTAAAACTCCCTATGACTTGAAGAAGATCTCTTTTGATCTTAATAAAAAAAATCAAAGTTCAATATCAAAGGATGAATGATATACGTGTATGTATTGTATAAAGAAGTTTTCAGGCAAACTTTTAATATTTTTGAGATCTTCATTAGTGAAAATTAAGGTGATGAATCAATTCCTATTGTTTTTAAAGCAAAAAAAGGTTAAAGGTCAGGGTCAGACGCTCTTTTCCTTTACGATTTGTATTTTTAGGGCCTTCAGTATCTTATCGTGTCATGGAACAAGGAAAAACTTCCTGAAATTGCTTGTTTTCTCGATTCTCGTGATTGAAAACTTCATATTCAAGATTTCTGTCTTTCTGCCAAAATATGCCAGTGTTGCAGTTAGCATTTAATTTTATCACATCAAGCAAGGTGAGAAAAGACGATTTTTGTGATCAAAATTTCTTGAAATAGTAAAATTAATTTGTCATTAAACATGGAATTCATTCTCCAAAATACTCGTATCAAAATTTGTTACAGAAAACCTGGACTCTAATCATCGGAACATAAAATCAGAATGAGGTTCGGTGTAAATGAAGATTTGTTGCCGTTCTTCTCAGGTTCTCTGGTTTCCTTCTGATGACAGTGTCACGGAGGGAGAGCATGTGCTCCAACCATTAAAGTGGATCCACAGTGCATACATTTTAGACCCATAATAACACACGGAGAATGAGAGGTTTGGGGGACAGCCCCCTGATCATCGTGGTGATGAATGGGGTAGGTCCTCTATAATTAGAACCAGGTAAAGAAGCCCCGGAAGCACGTAGGGATAGTATCGTGTTACAGAAGACTTCAAGAAGAACCTGAAATATTGATTTCTGAAAAAAATCAACTCTGATTGCTTTTTAGAGCGCAGTAGCTCAACTTTAGATAGCATGCTAAAACGTGGCTCAAATACGTTTATTGTAACCGTCAAACCACTGAAACCAGTGGCCTAAACGAATTATCTACATTTAACAAAACTATAATGACCAGAGAAACGGAAAAAAATGTTTATTTTTTTCTTATTAGCATGACTATTTCTGCTTTTGACAATCTATCAAATACATCTAAAAAAAAATTCCCAATTTTCACCCCGAAACAACAGGTATACTATTAAAAACAACAACAACAAAAAACAAATTAAGGTAGGATTCTTCTCTGGTTTCTGACTAGATGGAATATTCAAAGTACATTTGTTGATATGTCTTGTATATTTAGATGTAAGAGATTTAAAAAACCATATTTTTCTTTCCTCATAACAGCTATACAACTTTAAATAGCAGGCGCGGATCCAGGATTTGGAGTTAGGGGGGCGCCAAAATTAGGCAAGGGGTCTGGGGGCCGCCTTGAGGCCCCCAGTGGGTCCAGGGCAAAGCCCTGGTGGGGGCCCAGGGGGCGAATCCCCCAGAAGCTCCTGGATTCTAGAGATTTTGAAGGGTTAAAATGAGGTCTACGAAACCCTTGGTGGGGGCCCAGGGGGTGAAGCCCCCGGAAGCTCCTGGATTCTAGAGATTTTGAAGGGTGAAAATGAGGTCTACCAAGAAGACATATTTGATTTACGCTAACTTTGACAATTTTAAATCCTTAAATCCGCCACTGAATAGAAATGGTAAACTGCGTTTAAAAACTAGCAGGGACTATATTTTTGGCGGAATGGTGGCGTATGAAAATATCTTCTTTTCTGCCTTTCAAAATTATTATAGAACATCGATTTTAGTTATAATTTTTATGCAATCAAAGACTAGATGAAATTTTCAAATGTAAGTTAAATTGATAATAAGAGACTAAAGTTTCAAAATATATCAAATAAATAAGATTTTTTTTTACATGTACTAGAACTATTTTGGCTTATAAATGCTTCAAATCCAAGTACAGATTTGAGCCAAAAATCCGTAAAAAGTGTTATTTATTTTTTAGTAAACGATCAAAACTTTTAGTTTTTGAATCATTTTGTACCTTTATGTGACAACTTTACTATATATGAAAACTGTAAAAATTTAAAAATAGGAAGCGCATAAAAAAAAACTGATAAATCCTAAAAATTTAAGAAAAGTAGAGGAAATTCGGATTAGCAAATATCCATTTTATTTGAATTATCCATGTCAATTTGTTAATATCGTCTTATAGTCCATAAATGGTAGTATCTGTTTATGCAAAAAGAAAAACATTCAATCTTTTGAAAGGGAAGTAGGGATGGCATGATTGGAAACAGTATTTTTTTTAATTCTTAATGTCCAAGAAAAAGGTAATAACCTTGACCTGACATTGCTTCTAATATTAAACGGTCAAATTTAATCTCACTGATACCATTACTTAGTGATATTATCCTCTTGATTCTGTGAAAGTTTCATCAATTTTTAAATACAAGAAATGTGAGAAGAATCCTACCTTTTAAAAAAATGATTAATTTGATTTATAACGGAATTTTGGCGTCGGAAGCAAATTGAAAGTGTGTTTGTGTGTGTGTGTGGGGGGGGGGGGGGGGGGGAGGGGGAGCGATTAAGAAACCTACAAAAAAAACTTGAAAAAAAGAAAAGAAAAACGAAACTACCGGTATATCCATTGTCCAAACACGAAAATTCTATTTAGGGTGAGTGTTAGGTTAAACTCAGTACCATTTTTTTCGAAACACTACAACTTCCCATTTTTTGGCCTAAACTACAACGGGTCTGTGGAAAGTGGGAGCTAAGTCTACACGACAGTGTTCATTGTCTACATTATGTCTATCTTGCAAAAAAAGGTAGGGGGCTAAATTTATTTATTTATTCATTTATTTATTTATTTATTTATTTATTTATTTATTTATTTCTTTATTTATTGATATTTTTTTAAACTCCCTTTCAAAACTTTTGCTACGTATCTGACAAGTGTATTTAAAGATTTTTTTAATATACCAAATTATGTCCCTTGCATTGAATCTTTTGAAAAAGGAGGGAGATTGAGTGTCATGTACGTCAAATTTTTCGACCAATGAAATTGGAGAGGAGAATCCCGCAGAATAACAACAAACGTCTAGAAGACATACCTGACGAAAACAATGAATGTTCGGTTTCTCTTTGTTAAATAAGGAAAGGGTGTCGTGCAAAGGTGATTTGGGGTGTTTATATATATTTTACTTAGGCCGATTGATGCAAAATAACATTCCGTCATTAAATGTTCCAATGAACCCGTAGTGCGGCCACTGCCGAAAACATGTTGAGACAGATGGTCGATGAAAAATTAATTTCATAGAACTCATTCTATATTGATTTGCAATAGGCTAAGCATAAACGACACAGTGTTGTTATTTGAGTAAGTTCTTCGTGTGTCTTTGTCATGCTTGTAAATTTTGACCATGGTTTGATATTTTTGAAAATAGGATGAAACATGTCGGAACATGTATTGCTATGAACATAATATGATAGAGAAACTATTGATATGTAATTATTTTTTGCTTTTATAATTCCATTGCATACTTCATATATCTAAAACAAAAGTGTAAATTGAAATTAAATTGTTTATTTATAAATGTAGAATTGTTGAAAAAACTCGAATGATTATATTAAAAATCATTTGAATTCATTCGAGTTTTGTGCCATAGATGAAATTAATAGATTTGTGTAATAGATGCTTTTAGAATTAAGATCATAATAATCTTGTTTTTAAAGGCAGTTAAAAGAAATTGATTTTCTAAAAGTTAAATTTTTACTTGCAGCAAAAAAATGCCAGTTGAAAAAGGACTGAGAGCAACATCGCCTGTTCACGTTCATGTTGAAGATGATATACCAGTTCATGTTCATGTAAAGCAAAAGGGGAAAAAAGGAACAAAAAAGGTTTTTTTTTATCTAATGCATACTAACATTATTTTGTTTGAGATAAAAACCTAATGGTTATACCATTATCTAATCCAATATATTTATTTTTTTTTTTTAGATTGGTTCTGGGGTAACAAGTGTAAAAGGAGGTAAATCTGTGAGAAGTAAATCAGCATCTTCCAGAGTAAAGGCCCCAGTCACGGGCCCATGGGTGCCAGCCCCGGGGCGGGCCACTAAAGGGCAGAAAGTCTCATGGCAGGTAAGAAACCATGGAATTCTAGAAAAAGAAAACTTTTTTTGTAAAATAAGCACTATCAGAGAACTTTCCGACCCCATAAATCTACATGTTATGTGAACTGATGTGCTGTTTCTTTAATGGAAGTGGCATCCATGTCATTGTTCCTGCCTTGGTTGTGGAGAAAAGATCAGGAGACCTCAGTCAAGATCAAGACCAACTCGGTTTTGTTGGAAGGTATTGCATGCTACATGTATGTGGACACTTGGAGCATAAAGCATGTAGTACTTATGATTTGTGCAGTGCATGATGAACTGTGCTTGTTATTTGAAAATTATAATGCACATCCATTTTATTCTCAAGGAGGATTTAAATATGTTACCGGTATTTTTATTTAAGGAACACATCTTTACAAAAGATACACAATGTTCAACTTTCATGGTATTTTCTTTCAGGATTCTTGATGGGAAACATAATAATGAAATGCAATGTATTCACTTTTGAACATTTCCATTGAAGGGCCCAACACACAGATTAGAAATCAACACTCCAAAGGATGCCTTACGAATGGATGACCTGTCCACTGATGAAGAAGAACACATCCACGGACAAATGAAAAACTATGAAAAGAAAATTGAAAATCTCATGTCAGAGATGGGCTCCTTAAAAACAGAGGTATGCATTTTAGAAAAAAGGTTGCATATTGCAGTTTGTACCATGAAATGATGAGGTCAAGATAGTGTTTAAATAAGATAGAACATATTGTTCTTTTTTTCATTTGAATTTTACATGCGTTGGATATTCTTATTTCATGTCTTGAAATATAGGTTGAGATACAGAACAGTCACAGAGAATTGGAAAGGAAAGAAGAACTGTTAGAAACAAGTCGTCATGTAATGGATGCTCAGGAACGAGAATTAGAAGATACAAAAGACGAGCTATCAATGGCAGAGCATGAGAATAAACTCCTCAGGAAAAGCATGGAAATGCTCAGTGAAGAAGCAAACCTTAATAGGTAATAACAAAATTATATATATATAAGCGTCGAGTTCGATCTGATGATCTGCGCCTGTCAATGAGACATGATACGGCTCTTCGGAACAAGTTGCTGTTATAATGATAAATTAATTATATACCCCCTTATAACTAGCTAAATAGAGCAAAATAAATCTTTAGAGATCAATTGTTTAATATTTATCCATAAAACAAAACATAATAACAATGGACTTTTTTACTCGCAATAAAAATAACATCATGTTTTGCGTACTACATCGTCAGTTTCAGAGAGTGGTGATATGGATTCAGAAAACCACAGTGTGGTGATCCGGAAAGTCGGATCACGACGTCAGGTGATTGCATTATTTCTACAGTAAAATTGAGTGATAAACATTAGGTGTATAATAAAACTAGACATCTTACTGGAGCATGATATTGCTCAGTGAAGAAGCAACCTTTAATAGGTAAAGAACAGATTAATAAATAAAGACAAGGTAGACAAACTAGAAAGCTAGCTGTTTATTTTCTGCTTAATATCTTTGTGACTGCAGTACAGTAAACTTAATATTTAGTCAAATAATGGAATAGTGAATTTCAGGTTATCATTTAAAGTTTTGCAAACCCCGATGAAATTTTTAACAATTCCTTGTAAATTCTACAGACACAAATAATTCCTTGTAAATTCTACAGACACAAAAAATATTTAATTGCATTAATTTTGTTAAAATTCATAATGGAATTCATCAGAAAACTTTTGAATCCAAGGGAAATTTTGTACTTTATAATTATACTTCCCTAAATACTTTTTGAAGTCATACTTGAGTAAAAAAAATCTATATTGCAAATTCACAAAGCATGCTGTAAGGAATTCTTATTACAGATACAGAGAAGTAAATTCCTTGCTCCACTGAACATTGCTTTAACCAAGTTATACTGTACATGGGTATAACCAACGCATGTGTCAGATTTCTTACTTATTATATTTACAGAAAAAAATGTTTTAATAAGTAGAAAAAAAATATTTAGGTCAGGTAAGTTGGAATATATGTATATTTTTTCACTATGTCTTGTCCAAGTTTTTGATATGAATCATTTTTCAATAGATGTGATGTGCAGGCACTCTCTAATGAGCGAGAGAAATTAATGAAGAAGTTGATTGAAGTGGAAATGGATGGACAGGCAGCAGTTAAACAAGTGAACGAGATGAGGGAGGCCTTCAGGAGACTGAGAGAGGTCAGTGAGACACTTTATAAAAATTGGGTGAAGGTTGTAATCACTTGTAAAACATTAAGTTTGAAAACAATAAGTTGAGATTGTGCATTGATGGCATCATTTGTTCACATTCTTAATTTGAAAATTCTTTTCTAATCATGGGTACATTTGAAATTGACATTAAAATAAATGAATTTATAATTAATTTTTTTATTGAACAGGAGAACAGAATCACATCAACTGACTACAACAGAATGGTCAAACAAAAGGACAGTCTTCTAGAGAAACTGACAGACTTTGAGGCCACAAACCGAGCTCTGAGACGCTTGTTACGAGAGCAACATCAAGCTGAGACGGCAGCTGTTAGACTCGGTGAACAGAGAGACTTACTGATGAAACGGCTTAGCGAGGCAGACAGATTTAATGAGGTAGGTTTATAATAAGTAAAAGCAGATTTTTTTGAGACTCCAGATGTTGTATGTCCCTCAAATTTTATATAATGTAGTAGTGTCATTTCCTGTATTTTGTAATTTTCATTTTACCAGCGAATGTGCTTTTGCCAGAGGGTAAGGTTTCCATTGTATTCAGAGCATGTTCTTTTTATCACTGGACAGATGAACATACAGGATTTAAGTTTATTTTCAGTTACATATATGTCCATTCCCCCAAATTTTGTATTTGTTGTTGAAGTTTTTCTTATTTCTCTAAATGTTGAGTTTCATTCTTTGATATGAAATATTTTTTTTTTTAAATTGAAAAACCACATTCTTTGAATGTTTTCACTGATTTGACTTTTTCTTTTTCTTTTTTTTTTATTGACAGTCATATATTAAAATGTACATGTATGTACAAAACTGCATGTATTTGTTTCGGGAACAAACCTTAAGAAATACTCTTGACAAAAAAGACTTGATACTTTTGTAGCGATTGAAGATCGAACTGCGAGATAGAGATCTGTTAATAGCAGAAATGAGGTCACAGATGGCAGCACAGAGAGTAAGTTTTTATGACCTTCTTTGGTAAATTATTTTACACATGTTTTGTATATAGAGGCATCCTGCATAATTGTGAATAAATTGATGATGATTTAATTCTAATTTTATTTATTTTTGTCCTCACAATGAATTTTTTTGGAAGTACATGTACTAGAAAGAGTAATTTTTATGTGCTAGAGCCTGAATATATTTTAATATACCAGATTGATAGTTTGCAATTTTAAAAATAATAATAATTAATTTCAAAAAGGGGGGATGAAAGAATTTTTACACGTGAATATATAGTAAATATTGCTGATCTTTTTGAGTTTTTAAAATGCCAACAAAGTTCTTGATGTAATAAAAATAAATCCACTATCTACAGAAAGCTTCATTTAAGAAAGAGACAAAATTAAAAGTAAGTAATAGCATGGAGAGGGCGGTGAAATGTGACACGCCACCACTCATTGACTCAGCTGAACGTTTTAATCTGTGTGTAAATGGAGCTTTCATCATTTATCATGTACCCAGAGGTAGCCTGACAACAGCCCATTTAATGCTACAGATTGCTGTTGTTTTAGATTTGGAAATTGATGTATTTGGATTTTTGCATGCTAATGGTTCAGTTTGAGTTCATTGGAAAGAGTACCTGTCCAGTAGATTTAGTTTGCAATAGAGAACTTATCTTCTTTTGCTTCTTTTCCTTTAATCTATGCTTTGTTGTGCTAGGAGTCTAGAGAGAGAGAAGCCTGATTTTAGTCAATCCCTTGTCCTGGTAAAAATTTTTACTGCCTTATTGAAGATTTTACTGTAAGACAACTCCTCAAAGTTTTAATGTTATGTCAGGAGTACCTGTCTTTTTGTACTCAGTCTTCCTAAATTATCCTTTGAAATGCAAATTATACCCATGTTTAACAGTCTTGTACTATGATTTATATTATTTGTTTAGATCCTCCAACCTTCTTCTGTCTTCAACTTTTTCTCAAGCCAAATATCTCACTCTGTGAAGTCGTTTTACAGTGACAAAGGCAGTATAAATAGTATCAAAATAGTTTTCTGTTTTAAATAGACTAGAAAACAATGAAACTTTTCAAAGACTGTTTAAGGTTTGTATGATTAAAACACCCAGTAAAAGTAATCCCTGTATTTATTGTAGGATGAAAATTTAGCTCTCTCTGGTCTCCAATCTTCCATTGAAAACACTAGAGCACATTTGCAAAAACAGTTACGCACCAAAGAAGCTGATTTAAATCGTATGGCGGTGCAAATTAGGGTGAGTAATTGGCTGTTAGTTTAGTGGTGAATGGTTTCACTTCTTTGTGCCTGCTAATTTCTAAAATTTATCATCATCTTAATTTTAAAGAGTGTCTAATTTTTTTTCCATTGCTAGAGGTGCATGTGTCTGTTTCTTTGATTAGATATTAATGGTTAACTAAGTGCATGTTACAGGAGATAAGATTTTTGTTTTTGTTGTGTTTCAGACAATAGAAAGCACAAGAGCTCAGGACAAGATTGAAATAGAACATCTCCAGGAACTTGTAACACGTGCCAAGGAGAAGGCCGACAGGGACAAGGAGGCCCTGAAAAAAGCCACTAGGTTAGTCTGTCAACGGTTAAGCTTGTTTGAGCCTCCACTTTTCAAAAAGTTATTTCCCTTTAAATGATTAGGTGGATAGCCATTTTCAAATATTTTCTTTTCAGTAATCTGTAAAAATAAGATCAGTAGCCATGGATAGAATGAGATAAAAATATAATCCCTTTGATATTGTGATTTTTTAGATTTACAAATTCAAGAAAGTTCAAAGACAGAAAAACATTTCTCAACGTACAATTTAAAGTAAATGAGATATAAAAATTATGCAGTATGCTATGTCTTTACCTCCCCCTGTGTCTGTATTAAAATTTATTTTATTATTTAGAGTTTCAATAAGAGAAATATTTTGAGAATGGCTTATGTGATGTTGCATGATTATTTAGAGCAAGAGTCTGCTTTCATAGATGATATTAAGATTTTTACTTTTGCTATCAAATTCAGATAGAGTTAATCATGAAAGGGAAATAATTTTTTCACAGTTTTTATTTTCCATTGTTTTACCTTCCTCTTCAATCCCAGCAGAGGATTTAAAAATCACTAACAAAGATCACTTATTTTCTGATTTTTTTTTCAGTCTTAGGTGTTGAGATTTGCATGTGATTTTTAGATTTTTATCCTTGACAGTAGATGCTACAAGTAGATGGGCATGTTTTTTTTTGGCTATGAAAATGCCAACTTTTCTTTCAGAAAGTCAAACTCAAATAACTTTTTGAAAATGCTTAAAAATCCACAATTTATGGTCAGATATAGGCATACTATAAAGTACATGTACAATCAGTGATTAATGTATTCCAGCATAGCTTAAAAAGGCAATATGTATAAGGTAGCCCATATTTATGACTCAGAGTACAAAAGCAGCGAGCGGAAAGAAGCCAAGATGCTTTGGAGAAGATGAATGTACAGCTAATGGAGCGAGAGGCACAACTGGAGGATTTACGATCCCAACTAGAGCTGATGGGGCCTCGGTATGATAAAATGGCAAAGGAGAAATCCCAGCTTCAGGCTGAGAACTCGGCACTCAAGACGTAAGTGATCACAGGGCCTGTACATGTACAATATAAGCTACACACAATATACAAACAAGTTCTCCATGATTGGAGAGACAAAAGAAAAAACACAGTAACTGTTATGTTCCAGACTTTCCCTGGTGGTGGTTGTGCACGTTTACTAATATTTTACATTTCACCTTTTATAATGATGCATTTTGGTCACACAGTTTTCTAATTGTAGTGAAGTTGGGAACAGGTAATTAATAAGAGTGAAGTGATCCATAATTTGCTGTCATTTTGGCTAGTTTTAACTTTGAATGTAATGTTATTTTGAAATGAAGGCAATAACATGCTTTGAAGTTTTGAGTAATGATGTGCATTTTGCTCATTGATAAGTGATTTCATTACAGGTTGTGTGAAACAGAAGGGTAATTGATTTAGAAATGAGCGTTCTCACAAGTCACCCAAGTAACTGGTCTCCCCTAGGGAGAGCTTGCATGGTTGAGTGAGAATGTCTACAGTAGAATAATGTCCAAGTCTTTGGTTCTTTTTTGTGACACTTGTAGTTACACAGTTGTGAACTAACCCTGGTTTTCTTAACATTCAAGAACAGCAGTTGTCTGTGTTAGTTCACTATGGGAGTATATCTTAGATTTTACTCACTCAATCTCCATATGTATAATTTGGTGTCTCTGAAGGAAATTGGTCTTCATTCTAAATATATTTCCTTTAAAAATTGTATCAATTTAGACAGGATATGCATGTATCTTTTTTATATAGTTACAGTAAATCTGTGCAGTTAGTACATATGTTAGTTTGTACACTTACATTTTAGTCTTACATACATATCTACTGGTACTAGTATCTGTTTCCATTTAAAAGAAGAGAATTTTTAACTGCTTTATTAACCTACTTGTTATTATGTAGTTATACTAACCCCCTGATTAATTAACAGGAGGATGGGTGAGCTGGAATCTCTAATGGACCAAGTAGAAAACAGCTCCAAGTCACAGCAGGAATCAGTCAGTGTACAACTCCATGAAATGCAGGCAGAAAACTCGGCTCTCAAAGTAGAGAATGAAAGGCTCAAGGTACTGGATATAACAAACAGATTGAACAAGTTCTCTAGGAAATTGCAATATACTTTAACCAAAATTTTTTCTGCATTTTTAGACTTCAATACAGGCTATTGAAAGAAAGTTCCAGCAGGCAGATGAAGAATTGGTTCAACTTCGTGGAAATCTCAAGCAGTACGAGAATTTGGTGGAGGAATACAAAGCTCAGGTCAGCTGACTGGTCATGTGACCTTTTATGGGAGCACTGCTACTGACATTTTGTGTGTTGGTTGTATGCTAGATAAGTTTTCTAAACACCCAAATCCATTTTCATGAACAAAAGATTATTACCCTTTTTTCCCCAATATTTCCTTTTTAATGTACATATATTAGATTTAACCTCTGGTTAGTTAAGTTCCAGCTAACACTCTATTAAATAGATTTATAGAATATATGATCTTGTATATTATCAAGTCATGATAACTTATTAAATACAGGCATCAGGAAAAGTTCAGGTTAACAAAACAGTTGTTGACTTGCCTCTTTCAAACTCTAATGTAAGTTAATTGTTGTCTTCTCACATAGTCCGTACATTGCAGAACTAGAAAACAGCATGCTTTATTAAAATTCAAATTGCAAAATGATTTTAGAAATGATATACAGGAATTCTATTTAAATTCCTTGATAAACTGTGCATCCCTTGTCAGTTTTTTTTATCTTCCACATTTTATAGTTTTTCATTTGGTGACTTTAACAATTATCACTCCATTACTATACTCACCATTCATTTTGATTTTAAGCACTATAAATGTATTCACATTAGTTTTCAGTTGATAATAAAAGGGAAGTGAGGGGTACAGTGGTTCCATTAATTTGCTTTGTTGCTGTAGGCTTGTACTTGGTGTGGGGGTATGTCAATAGGTGCTTGTGATTTCAGATGAACAAATCTCGCCAGGAAGCTGATGATACCCTGGTACAGCTGGCCGAGGAGAAAAAGAACACAGATTATATAGCCAGGGAAAGCGAAATAGAGTTAGAAAAGGTTGGGATATACTGCATGTTAATTAGCAAGGGTTAAAGTCAAAGTTTAACAGGATACACTTCTTTTGCTATCTAAACTTTGATTTTATCCTTGCATACATGTACAGTGTATACTAGTATGATATACTCAGACTGTATCTTTTATATTATTATAGTTTATATGATGAAGGGTGCTGGGGACATTTCACTGCTTTCCATTTTGTATCATAACTTGTATTTACACTGAGAATTGTTTTTGTTTGTGCTAAACAGTGTCTTGCCGAAGCATGTTTGAAAATGCATTGTGAATTTGTAAAATACTAAATTGTTTCAATTTACCGCAGTTCATGTATGTTTTTGTAACATATGGTAACTTGTTTAACACACAAAATACAGAAGCAATTCAGTCAAGAATCTAATTCTACTAACCATCAAACAGCATCAAGATGAGAAATCTATAAAGCTAGTTTAGAATATGAAACAGAATATTTGGATAAAATTACTGTTTTTTGTGAGTTTGTCTTGATGCCGTGGATGTATCCATAACACCAGATATTTATATATCTTCCTATTCTTTCTGTTCCTAATTAGCCAAATCAAACTACAGGGCATTATTTCCCTGTATCCCAGCTCTCAAACTCTGGTCTCGGTCCAGAGCCTCAGGTAAGATCACACAACTGCACGCTGAGCTTTCACAGAAAGACTGTGGCAAACCGTCACCATTATTAATGTTCAAATATCTTGTCCTTTGTATTCAGGAGCTTGTTTTACATTCTGACTATAAAAATGATGAATTTAAGATTTAATGTTTCATTTATAAATGAAACTTAATCCTGTAAGTAAATTCATTGTTCATATTTTTAACAAAAAAATCAATAGTTTTGAGTGGTTTATTACTTATGTATTCTTAAGAATACATACACACTAAAAGTAATATATAATATTGAAAGAATACAGAATTTAGCCTTTTAATAAAATCAGATAAAACAGAGTTCTTGATTTTACTTTTTAGGTCAAAGTTCGTCTCCATCAGCGTCTCCAAGAACTTGAACCACTTCCTGATATGCTCAAGTCAACAGAACTCAAATTATTTGAGTCTCAAGAAAGAATGCTGCTGTATGAGAAAAAGAATACAGAAAACACAAAGCTGATTGCAGAACTTACAGCCAAGGTAAACAAGTAATAGAAGTACATCTTAACTGATAGCATTAGGTTTATAAAGATAAAATGGGAAGGGAATGAGATTTAAATGAGCATCAACATTCTTATTAATAATCATAAAAGAGTTGCAAAGCTTATAATAACTATGACGGTGTATCTGATTGGTTATTTGATGCTTTAACAGCTTTGTGACAGTGCATCTGATTGGTTTTTAGGTAGAACATGTGACAGACCAGCTTGAACAGAACAGGAATAGGTACCACGAGGCACAGGATGAAAACCGCTTGATGCAGAGCAAGCTGGAATCACTAGAAAGGTGAGTTTTCTTAGTGTTTGGCCAATTTAAAGGATATTATACAGTCATGTACCTAAATTGATTTTAAAATCAATTCTTCTGTTCTTGTTGATAACAAATAAATCAGTATATGGCTCTAAATATTCATTATATAAACTTTAATGTATGTGTCTAGCTTCTGGGTTGTGACTTGAAATATTCAAAAGATTATCGTGAAATTTACCTGAGTTTCTTCCCTATTATTAAAGGTTCATTGCAATAACAAATGCAAAAAAAAAAGAGGGAAGTTTTAACATGTAAAACACTGAAAATTGTAGGAAATTGCGGGACTCAGAAGAAGCTAACAGAGAATTGATGGCCAGTGTGGCGAAGAGAGAGGAGGGATTACATCAAAACAATGTCAGTTCTTAATCTGGAGTTAGTTATAACTGCCCTTGAGTAAGGAAAAAAGTATTAATTGTCACTAAAATGGATTTTCTTTTACCCACAGCTTCGCTTGGAAGAAAAGTCAAGAGAAAATGCTAGTCTTACTCGCCAATTAGAGAATGCTTTGTCCGATATACGACGCCAGACAGAACAGACCAGAGATAAAGCACTCCAAAAGGTCAGTGGTATTACAAGAGAGTTACTGACTGGATCTGAGTAAATGCTTTTTGTTTGACTCAGGTACTAAAATACATCAAACATCATCTAATATCACCGAAATTGAATTAGTATGCATACTGGAATTGACCTTAACCCTTCAACTAGGCAATAAAAAGTAACCTACCCACCCCTCCCCAGATAGGTTATTTATTCTTTCACATATATTTATCGCATGTTATAGTTTACAATACAATATAAGAATTTTCTTATATTACAGGAGAGAACCTATCAGACGCGCATTACAGACCTGGAGTCTCAGATGAGTCAGTGTCGAGCAGAAATAGCTCGCCTCAAACGGGAAAAAGAGGAGGTAATACATTAATCTGTGTTTAGATCTCAAATTAAATTTCATTTCATCAATTATTTGTTATTTTCTTTCTAAATACTGAATCTGTCAAAGACTTATGAAATTATATGTATATTTTTGCAGAATGAGAGAAAGTTTAATTCACGCTTATATGACCTGAAGGACCGTCTAGAACAATCCCACAGTACTAACCGCAGCATGCAGAACTATGTCCAGTTTCTGAAGAATTCCTATGCCAATGTATTTGGGGACAGCACGGTCTCTTACCCCTCCACCCCTCTCAACTCAGGACACCCCCAGATCTAGAACTCCCCCCCCCTTATATTCTTTTTTTCTTTTCTAGGAATAAAAGCAACTCATCTTTTATTTATTCTTTAAATCTAATTCTTGTGTACTTTTTATGAGAATTTTTAAGATATTAAAAGTATTTTTAGAAGAGGTAAAAAATAATCATGTATAAATTTTCTTACTTTTATATATACATGTATTGCTCTAGCATTCTGTTTATTTTGTAAAAGCAGTTACTTGCCTAAAGATAATGTAAAGAGGCACATGTAATGTGTTTATTTTACTTGATTATCACACACCCTTCCCAAACAAGCTTTAGGGTAGATAGGAATCACCATGTCTGTGTGTCTGCTGGTATTCCCATCCCTTTTCCTACTCAGCCAACTTTTTTAATGGAATGATATATGAAATTTGTCACAAAAGCTGCTTATGATTGAGAGTGAATTTCGACTGTAATCGAGGATCATTACTAAAAATATCAAAGTATATTTTATTCTGGCTGTAACTTTGAAATGCAGAGATTTTAGAAAAAAAAGCCACATAACCTTAAAATTTTGATCTGATATACAGTACAAGACAAAATTTTACTTGGATTGTACAGAATCTCACACTTGTCATATGTATTGCTTAAAATCATTGAATATACATGTAACTTTAATCTGTGCATATGATCAAGAGCACTTAAGTAAAAAAAAAATTCTATATTTATTGCCCCCCTAAATTAAATGTTGTGAATGTGCCCAGTATGCGGTATTGGTTCTGCTAGGGCAGCTCTAGTGAAGAACTAAGTTATTTTTAGTTACTTTTATAAAGTGTCTGTGATATTTTATTTTTGACTGTTTATTTAATTTTGCCGTCCATTTTAAATTAGAGAAGGGTGCTTTTGAGGCATTTTATAAGTATTTCAATTATACTACAAGGTAGTCATTTTAGACTTCATAAATTAGATCATAGCTCATTCTCATTACATAAAGATACCGAAAGACTTGCAATCAAATTTCTTTTTGCATGAAAATTTGAGCACTGTTTAAGGCACAACCTTGTTCAATAATTTGATAATTCTTCAATATCTTTTAAATGCTGTAAAATTAAAACAAAGCAGGTAGTTTTTGTAATCTCGCATAAATTGACTTGCTGACTATTACTCAAAGGAGAAGTTAAGAAATGAGACAGCATTTTATTAAAGTGCGTGACAAACTGCCACACCCTTAACTCATTCCATATTCACTGTCGGGATTAATATTTATAATGATTGTAATATACAATGTGTACAACTTTTTATTGTAACAAAGAAAACAGCAATAAAGTGATTCAATTCATTCCAGTGTTACTTTGGTTTGTTACCACCTGTGTCTGCACATGTATATGTATGTCTCGCTAAATATTTCCACTAATACAGCATTATCAGAGCTACAGAATGAACAGTTCCGATCCTTTCATGTTGACTCCTTCCAAGAAAAGAGTCCCACCTGGCATCACTCCATGTAAAAACACTTTAATAAATTGCACAACGGTTTTCATGAAACACCTGACTGGAAATATATGTAACTATCCTTACTTTTACAAGGTTGTAAATTTATACACTCTGTCTATGTATAACACTATCCCTTCTGGGCGATATTTCAAGAGGACTTTGAGCTTTTGCAATGTAATTTTATGCCAAAACTCCCTAGGACCTCTCTTACCCCTCTCAAAGTGTCCCGCCCCATTTGTTTTATTAGTATTTATTGTATTACATGTCGCTGTTTTTAGCACAGGGGCACGAGGAGAGTTATTACGTATAAAACAGGTTCTCGACGGACTTTATATTCTGATTACATCTATTAGAAACTGTTTATTAAAGGTTAAATTAGACACCATGCATTGTGTAAAATTTTGACAATATCAAACGTGAATATATACATGTATGTGACTTCATTTTTAGCATTTAATTTTATATTACGTCAAGTAGCACTGTGGTTTAGTGGTATGTTTCTCGGTCCACATGTGAGAGGTGCCGGGTTCGAATCTCGGATGAACAATTTTCTTTTTTTTTCGAAATAGTTTTTTTTTAATAAATGACAGCATGTGAAATGAAAAATTTATGAGGTCTGGCTAAAGTCATCATTACAGTGGGATAAATATTCCATATAAAAAGGATCTTCTATACACATAATAAAGAATAAGCAATCAAATCTTTATATCCATATTGGCATATTTTATTTGCTTCAGTATACATGTATACATTTAATACTTCTACAATAATGGCATAATAATTCAGTCAGGGGGATCTGACTCGATCCCCCCTCCCCCCAAACTGCGCATGGTTTATTTTTTCGCTAAGCGGGGGACACAAATTCTCTGAATTAGCTTGTTAAAATCGGCAATATTGCTCTCAAGGGCTCTTTTTCATGTAGCATGCATAACAAAAGTACGAATAAAGGATGTCTTTGTTAATTTATTACTCCATTTAAAAAATACATTCACAAATTTGCAAAGCATGAAATAATATCTAAAGATATACATCCCTCAAAATTCTAACAAAAACAATGCTAACAAAGCAATACTGTTACAGGTACATTGTTGTTTCAACAACACATATGTACATACTGTATACATAAAAGATGAGAACACGAACCTGACAGCTGGGATTTGGGGACTACTTAGTTGTCCAAGTTATCATCACATGCTGGGAATAATCCATGATTTGGATAACTATTACATGAACATACAAGTGGTTCTTCAGAAATAAATAGCAATGCATTTTCTAAATTCAACTGAGTTTGTTCAAGATACAGTAGTTTTTTTGGAATATTGTATCAGGACAACATAAAATGATTATAAAATGTACAATAATGACACCTTAATTACATTAATATTGGCTGGGAATTTGTCATGTGGTGATATATTTCAATAATATTAACTATATTTTGTCATGTATTGTGATATATATATTTTCTTATTCTATTGACATCCACTTACGTGTACAGAAGTGGAGTGAATATCACTAAGTTTATTATAATACACTATTATAAAAAAGTTCTTGTTGTTTAACTACCGTTTTGCAATGAACTGCAATCATACAACAGAAACCTTACTGTCTGGCAGGATTAAAAACACTTCTGACAAATCATATTTCATATTTTACTTTAGAAATCTAAAGTTCATACGGCATGCAATATTTTTAATGAATCGTAATATACTGGAATATTGATATTATTGCACAGCCCTTATTTAACTACTGGGATACAACCATATATCAGATGAAAAGTAAGGAATGCAAGAAAATCTAAACAAACTAGTTTTTAGTCTATCTGACAAAAATATGAATGGTGTTACACTGGTGTTTGGTCACATTGAAGATTGAAAGAGCTGCATAAAAAATAAATAATGCCTTTAGAACTTGGTACATGTCAGTCTTAAAAAAGGTGGAGAAAAAAATGCCATGCTATCACAAAAAAGAAGTTAAAAACAACATAAAATCAATTAATACTTAAAACCAAGAAAAGACATCATAGAACATCAATTCATTTATTAAAAACTCCTGATTTTTAAGGGGGGTGGTCAAAACAGAATTACTGGAAAACATAATTTATTTGTATTATTTAAGGAAAAAGATTCCTTAATGAAATAGATGATAAAAATCATAGAAGCAATTTAAGGCTCATTATATAGCCATTCTAATATTTCTATCACAGAGCCAAACTGATAATACTGTCATATCATTTGACTTCTCTTCATGTCAGAAAAGGAATGTCTACATCAAGAATTTTAAGGATTTCTACAAATTATTGACCTTCTTGTTCTAAGATATAGAACTTCAGCAAGTAATTACTTTACTTGCTGGAGTTATGTTGGAAATAAGTACTTTAAGAAAAATAAGGGAGAAAAACTGGACAATGTTAGTAAAATGTACATGAATACTGGAAACCATATATACAATTAAAAAAGGATACATGTATTACTGAAAATAAAGAAATAAAGTCCATCTACCAGGTATATACCGCGGTAAATAAAATGTCATTGCTCTAAAACAAGAAAGGTTTAAATACCATTAAAAATTATAAAAACAACAACCATAGCTTTTATATTGTCTCAGTTAAATGAATACAGAGTATTTCTGTTATTAACACAGAGGAAAATTGATATGCATGGTATACAAAATACAACATAATTCTTTGTAAAATGTTTGAATAATAATGAACAATTTGGTATACACTGATTTATATTCAATAAGAAAAAACACCTCATACATTATAAATTTAAATGTACATACATCAAAAGTATAATCACTTTGCAATTACAAAACTTAAAAATAATAATAATAATAACACATATCACTAAAAGTATAAGTTTATCTAATTTAAGTCATAAAATGAAACTTTAAAATAATATCACTTTATGAAAGATGTACATGTACCAGGTAATTAAATTGGTACAGATTACTTTGTGAAAATGTCTGTGGTCTACTTTTCTGGACTTTGAATTTAAAATTAAGAATTTCACTATTTAATGAGCTAAATAAACCAGACCCCAAGATCTTGAGGAAGAGTTAGTGATAAGTTCTTCAATGATTATTTACGGCAAACTCAAATTTTAAATTTACATTAAAACAAAATGGTCTAAAACAATCTGAAATATTTCTTGCTTTCTTAAACTTTCTTTTGCCTATTTCAATTGATTTGAAAAATCATACAAAAAGTTTTAATTAAACATAAAAAGAATATTATTAAGGTTTCATTTAGTCTATTCTACAGATATCATTCACTTAAAAAATACATAGAAACATCAAGAAATTTTTATTTTATAGGATTAACCAACTAATCAGTCAGCATATTTTTGTGGTTAGCCAACTGGCAATTCTTTGAGTAATTTACATTTGTTCCAAAACATATCTGTAATTGGACAGGTTTATTGTGATCCTTTGTCCAGAGTCAAACTACATTTGAAATTGTGGAACTGCAAAAGACACAAATCAATGTTTATTAAATTGATTTAAATATAATTATTTCTGATTCTTGATATGGCCACTGTAGCACCTCTCAGAAATCTGTTTTCTACATAAGAATTTCTAAGGTAGGTAATCACAGATACAAAACACATGAACTAAAGAATAATGTCTTTATGATTTGTTTCAGTTTTTCAAACTTTATCAGTGGTCTCCACCCCTGTTTGATCCTCTCCTGAACTGCTCACTAAGGGTTCACTCTCCGGCTGTTCCACAGGTTTATTGGTATTCACTGATTTGTCTATCTTGTCATGTTTACTTTGGTCTTTTCCTCTTTTTCTCTCTTTATGGAGTGCCACATCTACAATTTCATACATCAGAATAAGCACATATTTCATCAAAACAAGCCTTCACAAGCAATTGCAATGTTCCCAATTTCTACATTAAAAGCTGACAAATAAGTCAACAGAGATTTAAGTCAAAGATCACAAATTTTTGGCATGGAATAATCCCATGACAAATTTTGGCAGAATTTGTTGCATGATGCAGTATTTACAATACCGTAAAACATGCTTATGGCAATGTTTGAGGGACAAACAGATATACCTCAACATAAATGTAATTCATTATATCCCTTAATATGCCGTAAGCATGAATTCATTACAATTGTAATTGTTATACAGCAGGTTTGACTGTAAACCACTGTACCAGTATATTGTAAGACATAGGCCTAAATTTTGCAAGAGCTATTTCCCATTGGCAGCTTGTATACCCCAATTTGGCAACCAACAGGAAATAACTTGTGCTAAATTCAAGCCTATCGAAAACTTTCCAGTGTTCTCTGGTGACCTACCCAACTCTCTCTGGTTTTCAGCCAGTTCCGTCGGTGGCTTTTTGAATACAGTTTTGTTCACTGCTAAGTAGATTAGAAGTAGGACCACGGATGATGTTCCATAAATCCTCCATGCCCAGCGGATTCCGACCACCTTATATAGCCAGCCAGTTAATAATGACCCCACTCCTTTACCTGTAAATGTATATAACATTGAAAATGACATACATCTCTCATGAAGTTTGTGAAATGCTTCGTTCATTATGTGTCATTTCTGAACACTTAATTGTATGGAACAACTGTACTCTAAATTGGAAATGCATCATTGGAAGTAATATTTAAATTATGGGGAATTCAGAAACCATTCATAAAGCATACAAATTAGACAATGTAAATAAATCAGTCAGTATACAGTTTAAACAAGAATATGAAAAAGAGAAATCTGACATATGTAATACAGTACATGTATTCTAAAATTAGAAATGGAACTAAAATCTGCCAATGTGCGTGTGAAACAAACCTACTCTAACACACAGGCAATATACAAATTACTTTTATGCAGGGCCTTGACCTAAATCAAAACTGGTGCAATAATATAGTCCTCATCACACAAATTTTTTTTTGACTTGTCTGTTTTGTCTCTGAAGTTAAAGTCTGCGTTAAATTGCGGACAGACACATAGATATATATAGATCAAAACTAATAAGCAAAAGATCTTAAAAATCTTTAGCCAAATGTTTATATTTATAATAATAAATAGTGAAAATTGATGATATACCAAATCCAAAGTGAATTCCACCCAGAAGTCCCTGAACTGTGGCTGATATACCGGGAGGTGAAATGATGCTGGCGTAAGATGTAGATGTGGCCCACATGATTCCAAAAGTAAAGCCATGTAACAGTTCTATGGGCAAGACACCAAACACACTATCTAGGAATGAGTAGGCCAACATTCTTAAGGAATACGCTGCAAACACCAAGTAGATGCAGTTCAGGTGACCTAGTCTTTTAATAATAGCCCCAGACACAAAAAGAAGCACTGTCTCTGAAAGGCATGCAATGGCCAGACAAAATCCTGGAATGACTTGAAAGTATCCAATAGTCTCTTCCTCTAAATACCAAAATAAAAAGGTCTCTATTGCTCCAGTATAGAGTCCAAAAAAGAAGACAATCCCCAGGAAGATGACAATTTGTGGATGCTTCATAACGCCCCATATATGTACCATCATGTTTTTACTGGAAATGTTTCCTGAGACAGGCATTATCCACACAGATAAAATAGAGAGACCACACAGTCCCCCAAAAATGTAAAATGACACAGAAAAATCAATTTCCTCATTGCTACTGCTGATCTCATACATAATAAAAGTGGAGGACAGCGCAAACAGCATGAAGCCCACCGTCCCAAATAGTCTCTGTTTACCCCATTTCCCGCGATGGCTGTCACCCAGAATATCATAAGCAATAGCATCTCCCATACTCAACACAGGTGCAAATGCAATGTTTGCAAACAAGTAAATAACAAGGAATAAAACAAATTTGTCTCTCATGACGTGAGCAGATTTGGTAACACACTGATCCGTTGAACCAAGGTCACATTTTAAATGACAATTAAATTCTGTCTCGTGGTCACAGAACATGTTCCAGTATCTCCGTTGTTCTACTGTCACATTGTTCATTGCAAAATCACGACATTCGGTATCACCAAAAATCTGCCTATCAGCAACTACTTCCCTTGTTGAACCAAGAATATCATATATCGTAAACTGTAGATTTGCTGGTGAGGTCTGCTGTCCCAAACATTGATCTAGTTCTGCTTGGTCGGTGAAGCAAACTTCTCCAGGGAATGCTGTGGTTGGCTTACAAATCACTGAACAACTTAAGCGAGGATAAGACTTGTCTTTCACTTGAGATGGAATGACGGAATAAGACGCTGAGGAGTTAGGCTGACCTCCAAACATGCTGACCTGTATAGATGAATTTGTAGAATGATGGGACTTGTTCACACTAAGCAGAAGATTTTCAAATCCTAATGGACACTCTTCAGATTTATTTTTAGTACAGTCATGGATGTACGAGTCATATTCATTACAAGAAATCTTGGTCTCAACAGAAACATAGGAGGTAGTGTCTGAAGGAATGACAAGTATCAACATGTAAAACACTCCAGTGAACAAGATACTCAGAATCAGACATAATTTATGCTTCTGAAACTTATCTGCTATAATTCCGATAATTGGTCGTATCAAGAACCCTACAAATGGCATGATTCCATAGATGATCCCTGTCTGTGTAGAGGAGAGGCCTATCTGTTTCATATAGAGAGGGATGAATGGTAGGAGATCCCCAATAGCTGAAAAACAGAAAAGATTATATAATTTATTTAATTTTTTACCATATTGCCAGATAGTATGTTACTAAATATGCACTGCTAATACTAATGATTTTCTTACTTTTAGTGTTTGTGCACTACTAATATTATCGTTTGTGACAACTTACTGTAATTCCTGACAAGTTTGCAAACATATGTAAAAAAAAAAAAAAAAAAAGACTATAGTTACATACCTGCTGTAGTAAAGAAGTAAAAAAGCTTGATTGGTAAAAATCTCCTGTTTATATTCAATTTTTTCCATATTGCTGCATCCTCTTGATCTGCCATCTTCCTGTTGTTTATCTACAAAACACTGGATAGTTAACCTTTCTTAAATAATGTGTATGAGATGGGGGGGGGGATTTTCATTTTTTTAATTTCATTTTTTTTAAATCAGTGTAACTGAGTGTAATTGAAAAGTAATTGTGAATTACATGCCTTTTTGGAAAGTAATTAATTAAATTACATGTAATTGAAACTTTGGCCAATTACATATTACTTTCAATTTATTGAAATTTGTAATTAATTACTGTCAATTACCATTACACATTACCATTACCCCATCCCTGGGTGTAAGTGGAAAGATAACTCTGGGTAGAGATTGCCCACTCCTTAATCCAAGATTCCTCTGACTCTAACCCCTGCTTTCGATATTGTGATTGTGCAGGGGAGAGTCAGAGCAGAGGTCATATTGTGTGGGTGTGGGAATTCAGTGACACCAGCTGGTGTCGCAACTCTGCCTACCTTTTACAACTTTATTTTGCGGAGCTAACTTCCCAGACTCGAGAAATCAGTAAAGGGATGATTCTTCAGTTCTACAACTTAATCTTCATTAAAATAATGCTACCACCATTTAAATGGCCCTATCAACGACAAATGAAACATCACTTGAATTAGGTTTCCTCCTCACCATTCAACGTCTTTGCGCATAACGTCAGCACACAAATACACAGAATTCCAATAGGTTTCAAAGTAACATGCTCACAACACGTGTGGACCTTTTGAAAAAATAGGAAAATGTTGTGAAAAAATACATAAAACAACATAATGATGTTTCATTTATTTATTGATAAGGAAAGCATCTGTTAAAAATGACTTCTATGCTTGTATGAGGAAAAAAATCCATTTACACCACACATGATATTTTCACGTGATAGCCTGGTTTTTTGTGTATTTGTGTGCTGACGTAATGCACAAAGAAGTCGAATGGCGAGGAGGCAACCTAATTCAAGTGATGCTTCATTTGTCAGTGATAGGGCCACTTAAATGGTGGTAGCATCATTTTAATGATGATTAAGTTGTAGAAGAATCATCCCTTTTCTGATTTCTCGCGTCTCGGAAGTTAGCTCCGCGAAATAAAGTTGTAAAAGGTAGGCAGAGTTGCGACACTAGCTGGTGTCACTGAATTCTCATTTTTCAATATGGCTAGCTCCGCTCTGACTCTCCCCTGCACAATCACAATATCAAAATCAGGGGATAGAGTCAGAGGAATCTCGGATTACCTACTCCTGTGGTTCAGTTGCGGTTTCCAGGACAAGAATTTATTTATCATTTACTAGTTTAACTTATCATGTGCAAATTTCATATCACACAGAACCATAGTTTTTACCTTAATGTTAAAATGGGGTTATATCTTCACACATCTCGAGGTCCTGATGTCTTTGCAGAAATGAAATAACTAAGCATTTTAATATTTGGTCCATATCCGGCGTCGTCGATTTTGATAAGTCGTACATAGTGAATATGATAATTCTTAATAATTTAAAGTGTTTATAAAAACATTTTTCTTTGATATTACTTTAAAAAGTAATAAACAAAAAGTTAATATTATTCTTGAAAATATTTTTTTCATCAAATAATACTGAATGTAAATTGCTTCAGAGTCGAAATACCTTTGAACAATATAATCAAGACAAATTGTACTTCCTGTTTTGAAATTGGTCATTGTAACATCGAAAATGACGAAAGCGATTATTTTCAACAGTTTGACATGTTTCTTTCATTTAATTTTAGTTAATATAATGATATTTTCTCCTGTTTTATGTTCTGATGATTCTTTTGAGTCAGAGAGCAACGATCGCTTTAAAATTGAGGGTAAAGTGACGATGACAGATGCACGAAATTCGGACTGGATAGGGGCAACTCGTGTTCTTGTCGACGGCGGAGACTATGTGGGATATATAAGGTAAATGGGTATTTTGTGAATTTGTTTTTTGTGCTTAATCCCTATATGTTTCTGTAATTTAACGTATTCAGGTCCACAGGGGCTTGTCACGAAATATTTATCTTCTTTTAATTAAGTTACCCCTACTATAAAAATACACAAGGGAGGAATCTAAAAATAGGAAATTCGCTACCACAAATTTTGACCGGACTCTCTAACTTTCGTTGCGGACCAAGTAAGAGTGAGTGGAGTATAGATTCAATTTTAATATTCTTCTGTCAAATTCTAATCAACGCGTACAGTAAGTCATATAACTAACCTCTTTTCTCGATATTTGGATCTGGCGACAGTTCTTTCCATATGCGTCAATTGAAAGCAGCGCTCTGATTGGTTGCTTTCTGTAGATAACTCGTACACAAAATATAAACTGTAAGGATTGACATGCTTAGTGAAGGATATTTAACATGTTTATATAAATAAATATAACCAAATATAGTAAAATACGTACAATGAAACCACAGCTGTATTGTTCAATGCCATCACGACAGTTTGATTTTCCCTCCGTTTTGGTGCACTAAATTAAAGAGCTACTTTGTGTACGAGTTATTTACAGAAAGCAACCAATCAGAGCCCTGCATTCAATTTACGCCGGAAATTCATATGGAAAGAACTGTCGCCAGATCCAAATATCGAGAAAAGAGGTTAGTTATATGACTAACTGTACGCGTTGATTAGAATTTGACTGAAGAATATTAAAATTGAATCTATACTCCACTCACTCTTATAACAAAGTCGCCCAAAAACAAGATAAAAAGTCCAGTCAAAATTTGTGGTAGCGAATTTCCTATTTTTAGATTCCTCCCTTGTGTATTTTTATAGTAGGGGTAACTTTATTAAAAGAAGATAAATATTTCGTGACAAGCCCGTGTTCAGGTCCAGCACAATCTCTTGATTAAGCTATATAGCTTTAAAAAGCTATATAGCTTTATTAAGCTATTTGAAATAGCTTAATAAAGCTATTTATATGCTGTTTTTCACAAAAACGTTTTTTGTAAAAAGTAAACAAAAAGTCGCAAGTATTTGACTATTCATATATGTACTATGGGTTATCATAAATACAGCCTAAATCATAAAAAGTTTTAACATTGCTGCTGTTGAATACTTTTAAGCAAAAGATTAATTTCCATTGTTTGACTAACTGTAGACTAGATTGAGTGTGGTGAGGTGTGGATAAGTATGATTGCTTCTCATTGTGTTGAACTGTTACCAATCAATTATCCTGTTGGCCATAACTGACCTCCTTTATAATTTCATTCAAGAAATAACAATGTGGTCACTCATCAATAGTCCCAAAACTTTTAAAACTTTGAATACAAAGTCTCTCAAGGAGATGCAATTTGGTGAGTGATTTTTACATGCATTGTATTCAGAAGAGTTCAAAGTTTAATATTTCCACTGCATCAAGGTGCGACTTTTTGCACATGCTGAAAAAATAAAACATTTATGAAAAATGTGTGATAAAATAGCTTAATAAAGCTATTTTGAATAGCTTAATAAAGCTATATAGCTAAATCAAGCTATATAGCTTAATCAAGAGATTGTGCAGGACCTGGTATTACCAATACAGCTCTTCTGAAAAAAAATTGACAGACTGGAGAGCCACAGTGCCACCCATTTTAAAAACTCACTGTGTATGTATATATATATGTATCTATACACTGTCTAACAGTCTTGTATTAGCCAACTATTCTGTATCTAAATTATAGCATGATTTAAAATAAATCTGATTCAATTTATCAAAAATCAAAAGCGGTTGAGAAATGAGAATAAGCACATGTACTATAGATAAGATAAGATAAGATAATTTTATTTTCCAATTTTGGGCCCATAAGGCATAAAGGTTCTTTTTACAATGACAAGATAGAAAGTTCTGAAAGAAAGGTTAGTAAACATACACAAACATAAACACACACATGTGTATATCTGATATAATATATACAAGTAACTGTACATGTACTATATTTCTCCATGTAGCTTAAATTTGGCAAATATGGGATGGATTTCCTGCCTTGATAGTGTTTACCCCAAGAACCGACTAACGGCCAATTTGACCACTTCAGTTGACAAAAATGCTGCTTTGAAATAAAAATTTGTCGTAAGGTCTACAGAAATTCTGTTCATAAACCTCAGTCTCTAGCCTGTTACAACTGATCTCTGACCCTTTACTTTAAGTTATAGAGAAAACACTACTTGAACGGGCTGACATAAGCAGGCAATTGCTCTTTGAGCAATAAGCCCGGCTAACAATAGTAACTGCTTATGTTTTCCTATTTTAAATTTTGGAAAAATATTTCCTTAGGAATGTGAAATGTCAAAATTTTCTCAATCACTTTTAAAAACCTATTCCACATAGAATCTATATGCAATTTCAATCCATATGAAAAGGAAAATTCATATATAATAAAATAAACATTTTTCTCCAGTTTCAGAATATAATCTTTATTCTGTATTTATTCTGTTGTAGAAGCGATGGTACCTTTGTTGTCAATGACCTGCCATCTGGAACATATGTTGTAGAGGTTTCACATCCAGATTATATTTTTGAGTCTGCTAGAGTTGACATTACAGCACGAGGAAAGATGAGGGCTAGAAGGGTTAATTACTTACAGCCTTCCTTAGTAAAAACAATGTCATACCCATTGGATTTTAAAGACAGACAGAAGGCAAAATATTTCCAAACAAGGGAACAATGGAGAATCACCGACTTTTTAATGAATCCTATGGCAAGTCAAATAATTTTACTTGTGTTTTATGCATAATCTTTAATCAGTAGGCAATAAAAGTGGACAAGTGCATATTAAACTTTAATTGTCTGCCTCTAAAATTATCCAGCCCTGGGAACAGAAAAATCTTATAAACACATCTAACTATTTCAATTTTCAGGTCCTAACAATGGTTTTACCTTTGCTTCTGATAATGGTGTTGCCCAAATTAATGAATGCTGCAGATCCTGAAGCTCAGAAGGTAAATATGAAGTTATATAAAATTTGAATTAAATATGAAAACAGTAGAATGTATTTTGAAATTGAGGGTTTTTGGGGGACAAGATGATTTTTTTTTTATTAAAGTACAGTGTATAAGTATAGATTCAGATGAAAAGATTGAAGAGGTCTTCTGATAGCTGCAATAATGTAGCCCTCTCCGTTTTTTTTAAATCTGATATTTTCTAGTGAGGGCTACAATTACACAGCATGTCCGTAATGGTGCAAATGTATATTTTTAAATAAGGCTGACTGCAGGCAAAATAAATTGTTTTTACATTCAACTTACTTCTGAAAAGTCACGGGACACTGAGCGGGGTGGACGTGTTTTCACCGCTCCCTGTCAATTTGACCGTTCGCTCTATTTGCGAGTTACATATCCAAAATATTTAACCGAACTTTTGTGAAAAGAGGTTTCGGTGTGATTTGGATGCTTTTTTTGTGTTTATTTGGTGTTTTCATGGGATATAATTCGTTTAAATCGACGAGAGCTTAGATCTGCGTGAGTACGTACTCAGTCCTCAATGTGTCGATGTGTATATCTTCTGTGTATATAGTAACTTACCTGTGAATACCTGTGAATGCGTTAGTGTTTGAACATTTTTCTTGCTTTATTTATATTGCAAAATGGCACAATTGCTAAAACCCGTGTACATAAAGGATAGTGATCTACCCAAAGAGGAAAACGAACGTATATCAAACTTTGATATTCTCGATGCTGTCAGTCACAGTGTCGATGCCGATGCGATTAAATGCATACAACTTGATAGAAACCTATGGAGAATCTATCTCAATGACAAACAAAACAGGGATTCTGTTTTACTTGATGGTTTCGACTTCAAGAACCTTCATATTGATGTCTACGACACAAATCCTTACGCTGCTGGGCTTGAGAACCCTAGTGACGAGGCTCTAAAAGTCACCATTTGCGGAGTTCCGTTGTCAGTAGACGACAGTGCTATACTCGAAATGCTTACAAAACTAGGTGCTCGCCCAAAAAGTGATTTGAAATACGAGAAAATCAGAAACCCCTCAAATAACAAAATGACAAATGTGTTAAACGGAAATCGCTTCATATATGTCGAGCCACTTACGTGTAAACCTCTTCCAAGGTTTAGCTACTGCGCTGGCCTCAAATGTAAAATCCTACATCGTAATCTGAGAAGCCCCCACTAGCTTGTACAAAATGCTGGGAGAGTGATCACCATGCCCGTAACTGCCCGAATGAAAAAAGGTGTGCTGCCTGTAAATCGCCAGGACATGAACCGGGCTCGGAAATCTGTCCGAAATATATAGAAAATCAAAAGAATGTTGTGAATATTCAAGGAGAAAAAAATGTCTTATCAAATTTCTATCCTTGTGATCTCAAGGTTTTTGGCGAAAATTTCAAATCTGCATAACAGGCGTACCAGCTCACAAAAGCTGTCCGCACCGGTAATCTTGTTGCAGCCGAAAGGATACGTGATACCAAGTCAGCTCTACAGTGCAAGCTTATAGGCAATACAGTCACTAGTACCCCTGAATGGAGAAAAGACGCAGATGACGTCATGGAGCAAATCTTGTGCGCTAAGATAGATCAGCTCAAAGATATGAAAGATCTTCTTACGTCCTCCAGACCCGATACAACGTTCTCCCATTCCGTTTACGACCTGTACTGGGGTACCGGTTTTGACGCCTTGAAAACAGCACACACTGATCCGGATGCGTGGCCTGGGCAGAACAAGTTCGGAAAGATGATCCAGCGACTTGCGGACAAGTTACGTAAAACCAAACAGCGCTCTGTTTCCCTTCCAAGAGGCAGGAAAAACAGACAACAAGGTATTGAAAACTTTATAAATAAATAACTTGATGTGCCTGACATTTATTTTCGATGGCTTCAGTTAAATATGTATCTCTGAACTGTAGAGGTTTAAATGACTATAAAAAAAGAGTAATTTTATATGATTGGTTAAACGACAGTAATTGTGATATTGCCTGTTTACAAGAAACTCATTTTGTATTAGAAAGAGAATATATGTATAACTCTAGGTGGAATGGTACATCCTTTCACTGTTTTTCTGCATCGTCACATAGCAAAGGTGTTTCAATTCTAATTAATGCAAAATTTCATTTTAAACTCATAAATCAGCATAAATCAGCAGACGGTAGAATGATACTGTTAAACATTGAGCATGATAGTAGAATTATTACAATTGTAAATATTTATGCACCGAATACCGAAAATTGCAGAGTTGACTTTTTTAGGAAAATGTCTAAGTGGATTTCAAAATATTGTATGAATGACGACAATATTATTCTACTTGGTGATTTTAATTGTGATATTTTAAAAGATAACGACAGAAGTTCAAATATTTTGAAGAAATTACATTTTCATTTTGATCTTGGTGATTTGTGGAAAACTTTAAAAACAGATAAAAATGGTTTTACTTGGTGTGACGGAAATAACACTCCAAAAAGTAGAATAGACTATGTTTTTCTAACAAAAAATTTTTGTTACAAGCCAGAAAATATATACTTGCGTAGGCCACCATCGGTCTCAAATACAAGGATGAGTGACCATATTGCCATTATATTTAAATGTGAAATTTCTTCGAATAGTAGGGGAAAAGGATATTGGAAGTTAAATACATCTGTGCTTCTTGAATCAAGCTATTGCGAAATGATAAATTCTTTTTTAACGAACTTACCAGATGATATCAAATTAGAGGAAAATCCGAAAACTAAATGGGAACTGATTAAATTAAAAATAAAAAATCTAAGCATAAAATATTGTAAGGAAAAAAGTAGAAACACAAAACAAAAAATACTAAAATTAGAAAACGAACTTGAGCAAATTGAGAATCAACATCATATAAATATCAACATGTTACACAAAAAAGAATTAGAAAATGAACTCGATAAACTATATGAAAACAAGGCAAAAGGAGCACAAATAAGATCAAGAGCTAAATGGATAGACGAAGGAGAAAAAAATTCATCTTACTTCTTAAGACTTGAAAATAAACATCAGTCTACAAACGTTATTAATAAAATTACAAATGCTGGTACTACTTTTGTAAACACAAATGAAATTTTAAATCAGTTGTGTACTTTTTATGAAAATTTATACTCTTCAAACGATGTACCAAGTGAAAGTATCCAATCATATCTAGAACAAACAAATATAATATCTATTATGTCAGAGGAAGATAAAAAAGATTGTGAAAAATTTCCCACTCTGCAAGAATTTTCAGAGGCAGTGCTTGGAATGAAAAATAATAAATCACCAGGTCTTGATGGCATGCCTGTCGAGTTTTATAAAATATTTTGGAAAAACATTCGTTATTTTTTGTTCGAAGCCATATCTAAAATATATATCGACGAAGAGCTTACCTCAACACAGAAGTGTTCAGTGCTCTCCCTTATACACAAAAAAGGTGAATTAGATAAGTTAGAAAATTACCGACCAATTAGCCTCACTAATTGTGATTACAAGATAATTGCATTTGTTTTTGCGAAAAGACTACAAAAAGTGATAGACGGATTAATAAGTAGAAATCAATCAGGTTATATAAAAGGACGATATATTGGTAACAATGCGAGACTGATTCTTGATATATTTGAATATTGTGAAAACACGGATACGGATGGTGTACTTTTATTTGCCGATTTTCAAAAAGCATTTGATTCAATCGAATGGAATTTTTTATTCAAAACATTAGAAAAATTCAATTTCGGTGAAAATTTTATTAAATGGATAAAAATTTTATATACAAATCCGCAATTCACTATAAAAAACAATGGATGGATTTCGAGAAAGTGCAATATGAAAAGAGGAATACGTCAAGGTTGTCCGGTTTCAGCATTATTATTTTTATTTGCAATGGAAGTTCTAAATGAAAACATAAACAGTTCAGATTTAGTTAGAGGTTTTAAACATGAAAACATGGAAAATGAAATAAAATGCGTACAGCATGCAGATGACAGTACCTTTCCCTTAAAGGATATAAAGTCTTTGAAAAATGCCATAAAAATAATTGAAAAATTTGGAAATGTATCAGGAACCAAACTTAACTTATCAAAAACAGAATGTATCTTACTGGGGAAGCTAAAAAACATGTTTAAAGATAATACATACGTAGGAAATGTGAAGATCAATATAAATACTGTAAAATGTCTTGGAATTTATATTGGACACAACAAAATAGAGTGTAATGAAAAAAACTGGCTATGTAAACTGAAAGAGTTTGAAAAAATTCTGGACTCTTGGAGAAAAAGGAAATTAACTATTTTCGGAAAGAGTCAGATTATTAACTCCTTAATTATTTCTAAACTTTTATATGTGGCAACTATACTTGAAAACCCAGATCAGGAAATTATAAAGAAGGTAAATAAAATAATTTTCTCTTTTATATGGGGAAAAAAAGAAAGAATCAAGCGTAAAACTCTTATCAGGAAAATATCAGAAGGCAAATTACCGACTTTGAAACCAAAATTAAAGCCTTAAAGGCATCATGGGTTACCAAACTTGTTCAATTAAACAACGATTCAAACAAACTGTTAAGTGCTTGTTTAAGAAGATGTAATATAGATATCCCTTATTTGTTGAATACAAATATAACTAAAATACAAGACTTTAAAATTAAATGTCTCCCACTGTTTTATAAAGAAGTAATATGTGCATTCAATGAATGTAAACAAAATAATCAGGAAAAATTCCAGTTACAGAATATATGGTTTAACAAAAAGATAACTTATAAAGAAAAACCACTTTATCTTTCAAACTGGATCAAAAGTGGTTTTAAATATGTTAATGATCTATTTAATGACCAAGGGTTTAAAACAATAAATGAAATTAAAGAAAAATTAATATGTTCCCAAAACTACCTTTGTGAATATATGATTGTGAAAAGTGCATTTAAAAAACATATTCCAGAAATAAACCTACAATGTAAAGCAAATAAATGTAATCCACAGCTTCGCTTCAACTTTCAAGGACATTTTGAAAATGTTGAGGGCAAAAAATCTAAATACTTCTACAATATTCTGTTAAAGAAAGCATCAAAAAATCCTATAATGGAAAGATTTTGGGATGAGAAATTTAAGATTGATGATTACCACTTATGGGGGAATATTTACATGGAAAAGGTCAAAAGAATATTTGATAAGAATGTGTCTGAGTTCAATTTTAAATTAACGCATAACTTACTGACCTGTAATAAGTATGTTAGTAAATGGAAAAAAGACTTAAATGTAAACTGTTCGAATTGTAATGTAGAAGAGGACATTAAGCACCTTATTTTTGATTGCTGTATAGTAAAACCAATTTGGAGTAAAATAACATTGCTTTTAAACATAGATGTGTCATGGAAAGTTATGGTCATTGGTTTTCCAACGTATTGTAATAAAAATACCTTCATTTTAAACAATACATTGTCCCTCATTGCCTTCAAAATATATAAATATAAAATGAAATGTAGACTTTTAAATGAGGATGTGACTAGAGAGGGTTTATTGTGTTTCTTAAAAAATGCACTTGCTCAGTTCTATTTCATAACAAAATTATCAAAAACTATTGTATGTAATTTTGATATCATCAGAGAACTGTCAGAAAAATTATGAAATTATATATTATATATTGATCCAAAGGTGACCTGGCCTTTGGGGACTACTTTCGTAGGGGGAAAAGTGGACTCTTGTGCGTTGGTGTCCCCCTACGACTATTTCTTATGTCTGTTTTTTTCCTTAATGCTATATGTACATGAAAATGTATAAAGTACAAGTATGTGGAATATTGTATTTTTTATATATACAAATAACTGTATTTTTTTTTTCAATAGTTCTAGAATGTACTTACTCAGTACAAGTATGTGGAATATTGTATTATTTATATATACAAATAACTGTATTTTTTCAATGGCTATATTTTATTGAAGTTTGGACATCTGAATACATGTATATCAAAAATCAAATTTAATTAATTATTTCTATCTGATCCAGGGAGCACCCCAGGTGAAGATATATTAGGAGGGCCTCCGCGGAGGTATTACCTCCAATTTTTTTTTGTTAATTATTATTGAAATAAAAAAAAAAAAAAAAAAAAAAAAAAAAAAACTTACTTCTGAAAAGGTGAATTTTTTAATCACTGCCAACAACATAGCCCATTAAATGCAAAAACCAATTGAAATAAAATAAATCTGCTTGTTTCCCAGTTGCTCTCATCAGAAGCCACGACAGTTCTAGCGTGATGCACCGAGACTTGTGCTTGAAAATTATAATTACTTCAGCAGGGCTCTCACACCACTTTTTTGGGAATGGGTCCTGGTCCGTCAGAATTGGGAAATGTAGCGACATTTTGGGAAATTTGGGGATAACCATTATTCTTTATAAACATGATATACTGGGTTTCTGATCTTTGTATTCAACTAAATTATTGTTTTGCAATACAGAGGAATGTGAAAAACAAATTTAATTAGGCCATTCCAAGTTTTTTCTTTGTTTAGCGCCCACCCATCTTTCAAAAACCTAGCTACCTATTTGCAAAAAACACACAAGTCAAAAAAATAAAACACATATTTCATGTTTGAGAAGCGATAGCGGATTTGGAACATCTAATTTTAATTAGATTGTAATAAGAATGACGTAATTCAAAAGATATGATTTCATTTATCTATTTTTAAATTAAAAGAAAGTTATTTTCCTCAGCAAAATCAAGGTATTAACTTCTGAAACTATTCCAATATTGAAATATTATACAAATATTTAGAGATATTGCTGGAAATCACAAATTTTGACCTTAATAATTAATTTTCGGACTACTGATTCTGTTTTTTTTTCTCTGACATGGGTGTCAAAAACCAAGGCGCACGCGGACGCTAAACATAGAAAAAACTTGGAATGGCCTTATTACATATACAGCTATATTTTCTTTAATTTTGGGGAGAAATGACTTTTGAGAAAATTAACACATTCAATTGGGAAAAAAGGTACCTTTTTTGCATTGGGAATGGGCCCATAAACGACCCCAATTATAGAGAATCGAGAGCCCTGGTCATTTAGTATTAATAGTAATGTAGATCTTTGGGTTTACTAAACGAGTGTGCTGTATACTATGGCATCACTAAACATTGATAAATAAAACAATTCTATGTGACATTTTTCAAAAGCAGCGAAATTTATGCCTAAAATAAGGTAATTCCTACAGAGATCTGCTCCCTAGAGATCCCTATAGTCTCATTGGCTGTCCCAAAATAAAATTGACCAAGGTCAGTAAACATAACAAATAAATTCAAGTTGTGATGTTGAGAGACACGAAAAATAACCAATATATATACTGTGTATGTTTGGAATGATTTATGTTTTGCATAACTACATTTTTGGAGTTCAGGTAAGAAATGTTAAATAAATATCAAATAGCCATTTACTGATAATTTAAGCCGAAATCCATGCAGGAGTGAATCACTCCTGCACTTGCACCATCATGGAGATCCTAAGGAGTTGTAACCCTCTCCAAAAAAAAAAAATGGCAGAGGGCTACATTATTGCAGCTAACATAAGTCTTCTGATAGTGGCAGTCAAGAATTTTTATTCAGTAAAATCTAGTTTTGCACAAATTATTGTTAAATAAAGAAGCATCTTTTCCTATAAAAGCTGTGCAATTATCGTCTTGGCTACAGACACCTCTTGTTTATAACCTTGATACTTTCTGCATGTAGGCCCCATGATGATAAAGTCACACACTCAATGATTATGGTTTGATGCTCAAAAACTAAACTGCTAAACTAAATTACTTTTTAGGAGATGCAGTCACAGATGAAGGCCTTCAATGACAAATCTACAGTGCCTGATATATCAGAAATGCTGGCTAGCTGGTTTCCAAGTACTGATAACAAGAAAACAAAACATAACAAACTTAAAAAGAAATAGACTCCGAGGGAAAGTGTTAAAAGGATGTTTTGGTTTTGTGTGGTCAGAGAGAATGTAGATGTGGAGTTGAAAAGTGTGTAGAGAATGTGTTGCATCAAATTTGATCATATTTTAAATTTCATACAGAGATGAAAGTGTATTCAAGGACATATAGTTGGAAATGTTGAAGGTTTTATTCTAAGTCATTATAATGAAAAGTATTTGTTGTCTTTAACCCTTATGTTTTCATATTTCTTGAAGATTAATGTTGTACCCCAAATTCTGATTTTTAGAAATACTGTAATAGATAGAGTGTAAAAGTATTTTCATATTCATCAGTTTCATACACTTAAACAAGCACTTAGAGAATATTTTTAACCCTTTTTCCAAAGCACAGAAACAAATATGTAGAAGTCTGATATATTTATTTTATACCTGTAATGTGAACAAATCATAACATGATTATTTTTAAGTAAGTACTGCAGGGTCATATATTGACTGTAGATTGTTAAGCAGGCTGATATACATGAATAAGATTATAGATATTTTGCATTCAAGGATGCAGATGATCTCAAATCTGCAGACATTTTACTTTTATAAACAGCTTGAAATTATTTGTCTTTGTATAGCTTAAGAAAAATTAGTTTTATTGCGTAGAAAAAAAGGAAGCAAATTTTTTTAAATTTCAGTAGCACTTATATTATAAATAAACTGTACAAACATTTTTATGGTAGGTTATATGCAATAAATATCACAACTGTACAAAATTAACATTTTGCCCTTTAACATAATAAAATTATAAATTTTTGTCTTTGTCATATTACTTCAATGTGACATTTGATATGCATAGAATTCATGCTACACTGTTTTTATCACTGTGGGCTTAGTTTTTATGTGTCAGCACTTAATATTTTGACCTCCTAACCGAAATTACGAAAATGGAGGTGACGTGTTTGTAGTCTTAGTATAGGAAGTCTAGGTTATTCCCAGGTATCCTGGTTTTCTTTTGACTCTTTCTTACAGTTATATCTTCTTTATCCCCCTCCCCGTCAGTCGTGTCCATGATTTCTGTGAACAAGTCTAGTGTTTCTTCGCTGGATAGCATAGTTTCCCGCGGATTGACGTATGTGTATCCACCATTTCCGGTTTCCCGCGTCTGCGCTCTTTCCATCACGGACTCGTACAGACGTCTACGCTGCTCGTTAGCGAAGAAGTCAATCTCTATGACGCGGGTGACGATAGCTTGGTTCTTTCCTCCACACATTGAATTCTATATCTATCGGGGTGATCCGTTCAGCTGTCACAGTCACCGTGATGAAAGCTTTCCCATTCTTTAACATAAGATCCACATTTTCTGCGACTGAGTCAAAGTTAGAGGTTCCGTTTTGCCCCGCGCGGCTGCCGTCGGCGTGAATTAGGCTAATATCGCCGTAGATATCCTCGTGATGATGTTTAACGTCGATGTGCTGGCGGATATCTTTTGAGTCTATGGTAGCAAGTTTAGACAGTAACAGCTCACTCAAGTTCTTCTTGGGGCGAGGCTGTCTTTTGACTGAAAAAGTTAAATTTGCATTACAGTTTGTGGTAAAATGTCATTGACAGCCTAGGGTCAAAGATAACTAGAAAAAATAATTTTATCTACCTATGCTTCACGATTTTTATATATATTAGGAATCAGATATAATCAAATATTTGGTTTGGGGGATAATGCACGACTCATTTTGCTACTTTTGTAATTTTTTGTGCAGCATAATCATTGATAAGCCCAACTACACTAGGCGACGATACACAAATCTATACCCCTAAGCACAGGCGGCCTGCCCAGGTGACTTATCGCGCGAGATCAAAGCACAGCCTCTAAGCAGGTATTTGAGACAGGTACAAAACTGCTGACAAATTCGCCCAAGGTATGGATGCATAGCCTATTCACATAGCTGTATTTATACACATTGCTGTGTAACTATCTAATTTTGTAATTTTATTCCAAATGGCATTTAAACACGAAAAACCTGTTCGTTTTGTAAATTTATGTAGGAGTATTGCATTTTTTATCAAGGATTATATTTGTCATTTTATATGTAAACATCTCCACCTTATGAACAATAGCTTTTTCTATCACTACACGAGGCGTTCGAATTAGATTAATATATTGAAGTCGCAAAACTCATCAATTATCATAAAACTCCGAGTGAAGTACAGCGTAGAATATTAGCGATACCAAAAGATACATGCTTTATATGTAAATGTTAAACTGTACAAAAAATGTCTTAAAGAAAGACAGCTGATATTTTTTTCTGTATTTATACATTTGTCTTCATGTATCTGAGGGCTAGGGTTGGTACAAAATACTTGTCAAACCACTAAGAGACGATGAAGTATGGCTGTCCAACTGCGGCTAAATTAGGGTCATGACCTTCAAAGTAATCATGTTTTCTAAAATAAATGACCTCGTAAGTTAATGTTCACCTGTGCCAATCAGAACGGATAAAACAAATAACTTTTAATTAATTAACCTACACATGACTGTACTGTATTGTGTATTCCTTTTATGTCTCGTTAAATCTGAACACTTTTACTGAAGTCATAAAATTAATTAAAACGTCTTGAAAAATTAAACTACCAGTCTCAAATACCACGAACATGTGTAACTTAAGGAATGTTTATGACATCATGGAATTTCAAACATTATGTCATTTTAATATTTTTATTGGATAAATACCTCATCCCTTGAGTGTAATGACATTTCTGAGTTCATATTTACAACACGCACTCCAGAATTTCACTTTTCAGAAAAATATTTCATACTGGTCTATTTCTGTTTTACGACATACTTGATCCATAAATCTTTTACAAAATGGGTCTTGATCTAGTGGTGGTTCACCGTTAGATAGTCAGTTTCATCAATTTTTTACTTTTTAAAGTGGTATTAAATGAAAGATACTACTTGTATCTGTAATTCTATGTAACACAAGAAGTTGAATTTTTGTTTCTTTATTTATAACTACATGTAGTAAAAATTGTATCGAAATGTAAGGTCAATCGACTTCGGACATCAAACATTAAGGACCCCCACACGGCCACACCCCTTAACTACATTATTGTTTTAAATCCCGATCTCACATAGTGAATAATGGTTGCAAGTACAAGGGCTTTTTATATATTCGTTGAGTAAATATGAAATATTTTATCGTTTATTTCATTCGGGAATTCATATCAAGTCAAAAAGCAGAGCGTCCATATCACCTAAAGTGTGGGACGCATTGTCAGGGATTATAATCTTAAAATTTGATTAAACTGTAGTACATATTGGTATTTGAAAAAAAGAAATTGCCTGAGGAACGCCTAGAAATCTAATAAACGTATACCTTAAAGGACCACAAATCATATAGTCTTGGAATGTCGACATCTTTTATCTAAACTAACAAACTAAAATTGGTTTATATTTTGTATTTGGGGTAATAAAAGTAAAAGTTTATTCTGACCTTCTTTACATTTGGTGAAGCGGTCTACGGTTTCAAAGGTGATGTCGTTATTAAGACTGTCCTGAAAGCGCTGGTTATGCGCTCGTTCCTGCTCTCTCTCCCTCTCGAAGCGCTTATAAATGTCCTCATCACTATGATAAACGGGATTCTCCTTCGTCATGTTAAAGGCTTGGTCAAACAGGTTAATATTATCATTATACTCGTCCAGATCCTGGTCAAGAGTATTCTTTATCAAAATATTACCCCGGACGACGTGAATGTCCCTCTCCTCCGCAGCATGAGATTGGTACGAATCGTGTTGACCTTGAAAAACATCATGGGTACGTTGAGGCACATTGTGATGACCTTGAAAAGTTTCATTATAACGTTGATAAGAATCGTGATGACGCGGGAAAGCGTCATGGTGATGGTCGTTTCTCACTTGATATTTTGTGGAAAATGTCTTACTTGATTCGTTGGAAATAGGCATAGGGCGACTCTCTGACATCACGTTAAATTTACTCTTAAAATGTCTGTCGGTAACAGGCGATGGCGACGATCCGTTTATCTGAAACACTTTCTCGGTTTTGAATGTGTGCGGAGCGTGAGTTTCAATAGAAGAGTTGTTATGGAACCCATCTTCTGTAACACCACCAGACGACATCTTCATGGTGTAATATTCCTTAGTTGTCACCTCCTCTACAGTTTCCTCATGTCTGTCCTCAGTCGCTCTGCTGTTTAGAACCACACACTTCTTATCTTCTATTTCTGCAGGTATAAATTCTCGGCGTTGTTTCTGCCATTTTGGTGCCTCATACGGACCCTTAACAAGAGCAACTGATTTGTAAATTGGGCGCTCTACATCCTTTGGTCTAACTTCTATTTTCTCTGTTCTTTCCTCTCTTGTTTCTTCAATTTTAGGGGGAGAGGGCGTGACGTCAACTACAGCCATGTGACAGACCGGGACAGGTGGTTGTGGTAAAACGGGTGGCGGCATGATCACGGGCGGGGGAAGCACGGGCGGGTACATCATGGCACTGGCCTCCATCATGTAGGAGGAGTTGGAATTACTGATACCAGTGTTATCTGCGTGAGACTGTGAAGTCTGCATTGCCTCGCTCCTCCTGTAACCCTCTTGGTCACCCTCCTCTTTTTCCATTTCGTAGGAATGTCTCACTGTCTTGACCGATGATGAACCGATAGTCTGAGGTATGGGGCGATGGACCTTGTCGGTCTCATCATATCTGGTCAGTTGTTTGTTATGGGAGGTATCAGACGACAAAGTACCATACTGGCCACCCGGACGATAGTGCTCTCGGAGATAGTGACCTTCTCCAGTGCGTTCGTCTATTTCTTGGATTTGCATATACCCGCCAGGATTGTACAGACCAAGCAATACCTCCTCGGCAGTGTCATGATCAATGCCTGATCTCCCAACAGGCTGTAGATTGTAGATACCTTGGAAATTCTGACCACTATATCCAAACCCGTCTGAGGTATTGTGGGATTCCGAGGAGGTACTGAAATAAGCGCTCTCTTGAGATTCGTCTGTAATATCCTCCACCATGTAATAGTTTCCTTTGTGGTCCTGCACGATGTACCGTCTGTCATCATCTTCAGTTGGTGGAGGATGACTGACCTTCTTTTCGTCTTCTTCTTCTTCCACAATCTTGTGCGTTAATGTCGTAATTACTAAATTTCCGCCCGGTAACTTGGTGACTGTCTGATTTATTTCCGGTAAGAGTTCATCGTTATTTTCCCCATTCAGCTTAGAAATGGTTTCGGCAAGATGTTTTAAATGCGTATTGGACTCTATATCCAAATTTTCCTCCGCCCTGTCGCCCCCTCTTCCTGAGCGTAATGTCGTTGTCTTTGTGCGGACTTTCCTGCCTCCCGTGTAGCTGGAACTGTCGGACCCGGACGACGTGTACCCGGAGTACCTGTCCGGCATCGACCGGGCGATGCCGGACAATTCCTTTAAGGACACTATTTTGTCGGTTTTAAATGATCCTGGCAGTGCATAAAATTCGGGAACACTTGAGTTCTGCTGCTCTTCGCTTGGATGTGTATTGCCTTCTGATACCTGATGGTTAGGTGTAGCGTATGTAGATACGTTAGCTGTCACTCCTGAGACGTGTTGAGTGCCCCGAGCCAGATACGCCTCGCTGCGCTCTTTTTCTAAGGGATTACACTTGACAAATGGTAATGTTTTACTTTTATAAAGTTTGTTTTCTGCATTTTTACATTCCCGTTGGATCACCTTTGCTCCAGCATTTCCATCACCTTGGTTAACTTGTTGGTCATGACAAATGATGCGAACCTGGTTTCCATGAAGCTCAGTGTCACTCACTTTGTTAGTGATAGGGTTTGTGCTGTCACTGGGAACTTTCTCACAAATTTCATCAATTTGAGAAGCAGTATTTACACATTCAGTATATTTACGAGATACCTCGTTAGTTTTAGGGGATACTGTTTCAACACTCGTTAATTTAGGTTTGGGGACACTCGCACTGTTAGTGTGGGAAGTACATTCTCCAGACACACTTGCATCGTTCAAACTAGTATTGTTTCTCATATGGACTTCTGTGTTCTCAGATGCATTATATTCCAAAAAATTACGATGATTTTCGTTAGAAAGCGATGTGCTGTTAACACCAGCGTCGCTTGAGTTTTTTTGTACATCTCTCAGATCTATGCGTTTTTTCTCACTCTCTGTTTCACTTTCTTCCTTATGACGGACTGTTCCCTGCGGTTGTTTACTATTGTTATTTCCCTCTAAGTTGATCACACTTTTGTACCCACCCTCCATCTCTGCGTGACTTTTAATCTGTTTGTCACTAAAACTGACATCATTTTGGCAAGAGTTCTCAGTAGAAATTAAATATCCTCCCTGGTTTGAATGAACATTGTCATCGCTATTGCTAATACTTTCTACGTCATCTTCAATCAAATCCAGAAGTTTTGAGTTTTCCTCCAGATTTTGACTGAGCAGTGCATTATTCCTCTCCACGGCTCTCTGTAATTCTAAAATCCCGTCCTCGACACTGCCCACTGTGTGGCACGGACTCGTCTCTCTGGATCCACCTGCGGGAATCTCGGGTGAACTTTTTATGTTTTCATCCTGAGAATTATTCACATCACTTTCCTCTGATGACCCAGAGTCTGTTTCCTTTCTATCCTCTTTTAATTTAGGAGTACGAGATTGACCTCTCCGAAGGTCAGACACTGGACTGTCATGTAAAGCAACATTCTCTTCAGAACTTACTTCACTTTTAGTGTCCAATATTTTGTTCCCCGATTGTGCGTAAATTCCTTGAACTTCGTCAAAGCAGGTGTTAGATTCTGTAATTTCAGTAGCCACAGTTGGTATATCTGAGACCTTTTTCCCTGTCTGATGTAGATTGCACACGGCAAATTTATCAACAGAATCCTCAGCTTTGCTATCGGAGACACTGACATTGCTTTTTAAGCTTGAATGCGCCTTTGAAGTTTGAGTTTCATCCTGAATAAAGTTTACATCTTCTTTAATATTTCCTATATTTTTAATAATTTCATTTTCACAAACACATTGATGTACACCTACTGTTTTTTCATTATTCGAATTTATGAACCGAGACACATCCTTGAATTCAACAGAAGTTATTTGTGAGGCCTGTTTCCCAAGCCCGATATCGTCAATTGTACTCGCAGAAATGCCACTTTTTACAGAATTTAATGCACAATCATTATGATTCTCCCTACCGTCATCCAACTGAGCATTTGTTTCCTCCGATATATTTGTGTTAGATTCCATATTTTGAACAGAGAAAGCAAAATATGGAACATCCTCTGATTCTGAAGACTGTGAATGCACGTTTGTATTATTCTTTTGTAAACTACTATCTGTCTTAATCTTATGTTCGCTAGCATTGTTTTGGGAGTTTGAATCACTCTCCTGGCCGACAATCTCCAGAGCATGGTCACCCGTTTTATTTGATTCTCCTATGCCTGCACCATCTTCCCCATCTTTCGTGTTCCGAAGATATGGTTTTCGTTTCCTCCTCTTATTTTCTCTTTTGATTCGCCTCGCCTTGTTTGAAAATATTGTAGTAATATTTTGTACTGTACCCGGTTTTATTTTACTTCTCACAGTTTTAACACTGCCTTCCAGTTTTGAAATCTGAAAGGGCAGCAGACGAACTGTGTTTTCTTGTGACGTTTCCTCTGTAACTACGTAATGATTGCAAGAATCCGATTCCTCAGAGCTGTCGTAAGACGAAGTATCACTGGAATCAGACGACGAGTCGTAAGATTTTTTGTTATCGTTTGTTATTGCTTCTGTGAGGTTATTATTAATTTCACTAGAATGCATTGTAGAAATGGCGTCTGGTGTAAATGGACGTTCCAAGACTTCCGGTGGATGAGATGTTGGTAAAGGCGGGATATCTAATTCGTCGTCTGATTGTTCACCAAGAGCATGCATTGTTGATGAATGTTGAAAGACGTCCAATTTCGGAGTTTTAAGATTTGCTGACGGAGGTGGGCTTGGTGAAACCGGAAATCCGGAATCCGAAGAAGCTGTTGAAGAACCACGACGGTTCCAAGCATTGTCAGTTTTGGTTCCTCCAGATTCATAGATTATATTTGGTTTCCGCTCTGAATCCAGTCTCCGTAACTTGTCATGGTTGACTGTGATTTGTTGTTGTTCAAGTTCTTTGAGAAGCAGAAATTGTTTTAGTTTTGATGAATCCATCTTTAAGTGTTTTCTGAATACATCCTGTAAATGTATAAAAGTGATGAATTAATATTCTCACAGGTGTCAATCATATTTCACTCTGAATATTAGATAAAAGCCGAGGGTTCACATTTCATTTGCATGTATCTTTTTGAAGACGTTTTTGTATGGACGGATTTATCTTCGACCATAAATAATGTAAGAAATACGGTGTAAAGACTTAATATTCATACAAAACACGCGAGCATTATTCTAGTCCAGATCATGACGTTTATATTACTGTGTAAGATGATAATGCTATAGGAATATCAATGATCAAACTTACTTTAATTTCCGTCCAGTTTCCTTCATTTCGTTTGCCCCATTCTGATCCACCCGGATTAGCTACATATTTCCATCACCACTCCATTGCGTAACAAATTCAGTTCAATTTCTTATCAAAATATAAATGAGACTTAAATTCCTTGGAACCTGTCTGAAAGCAACATAATTTGTTTATGTTAATAAGATTCAATTAAAAAACAGGTTTGGTGAGTAAGATACAGGTATTTTAATCTAAACTTGATTCCCCACTGATGAGTTGTGAGACTAGTCTATTGGAATTGATAAACAAAAGGAAAAATATAACAAATATATTATTTAAGAATATTTTTTTCACTCTTTTAAAGTCTTTTGTTAATTTACTTTCAAAGTTAATATAGAAAATATTTCTAAGGCGCAAGAAAAATTTCACCTGTTCATAGATATTAATGCAATTAAATTTCCTTTTCTCACCTGTACCCAGGTTTCGTGCATGTCCATCGATTCAGCTGCTAAACGTAACACAAGACGTCCTTGTCATCTAGAAGATATGCAAAGTCTTCATTAGCATTAATTTACATATGTTATACTTGATTCATCTGGTAAACGCTTCGGTTCATTCACCACTTGTCGGGAAGTTTGAGAGGAAGAGTTATATAAGAATTTTTTCCTTGGTTTCACCTCAACAGTCAGACCTTTGATACTAAATTCCAGTATTTGACGCTTCCTATTGTTAGAAATTAGCCATCTACCGTGTGGTCAGGGGGACACTTAAATCTCACCCTAATGACGCGTGTACCCGATCTGTCAGGAGTGCAATACATAGCAGGGCGACACCCTTAAAGTTTTATGTCTCTGTAATGACAGATTTACTATACCATTTACCCACAATAAAGGAACTGGCGGACCCGTTATACGATTTCTAATAAGAAACTTTTCTAAGAGTCGACAATTAGTGAGTTTTTGCTCCACTGATTAAAGAGAATTTTATCAATGCACAAAAACAAAAACAAACACACATAAAAAGCCCCAATTACTTACCATGACGGGAGATATTTATCCAGGTTTCTTTCCTTTGATTTGTATATTGTCCCCCAATGTTATAACAGATTTAGGAGATAACGGACAGTTCTAGCGTTAATTCACATGAGCCGATTAGTTAGTCTTTTAGTCCCTCTTACGTTGGTTTTTGGATGGGACTTACAGATATACAAATGGATATTAATGCCAAAAGCCAGCCCTTGAGGATTATAAACCGTTGGCTTTTCTATGCGGTGCACGTGTTAAGTAGAAAGAGCCTATACCTAATTCATTGACAGGGATTCAATGAGATCAATAAAATCACTGACCATTTATCTGAACACCTGTATTTTAAACAAATACACAAATGACAGATATATCAACAAATACAAATAATATAGTGTAATGAATATTCTTTTTCTTAATTTCATAGACCATTTATAACCCTTCATTTTTTCCAAAAAAAAGGTAAAATATACAAAGGCAGTACAAGTTGATATAAACATTTTATCTAATATTTGGTGAAATTCCGGTAAAACTGGAATTTTCGATAAAATGTCATACTTTGTCACCGCTAATACCATCCACTTCGCTTTGATTCAATATTAATGCTGGTTGCATTTACATCTTAAAATTGCAAACTAGCACAATTTGTGTGCTTAGATTTTTATATCAAATAAGGGGCCAAATTTGCCCGTTACCAGACCTTGTTCCTAGGATTCTTTGTAGAAATCATAAGTACTGCTAATATATATGATAATATCGTGAATGTCACAGAGACGTTCGCACAGACATTCCTTTGGGCCCCTCTTTTCTCTTTTCACTAGGTACTTAACTCAATATCACCCCTTCCCCAACATAAAATTCAAGTTCATATTTATTTAAGGAATAATTGTCTTATTTTTCGAATTCATGAAGTGATCAATGGATTGGCTTGTGTGATAATTTGCATAAACGCCGAAGGCGTTTATATATTATGTCTTGATCATCTTCATGAATTTGAAAAATCTGACAGTTATTCCTTATATTTACATGCTTTAATTCCGCCAATCCACGGGCTCCAAGCCTGCTTCTCTCAAAGTGTTGTCCCGCCCTGCACGTGGTTTTTTTTGGAACCGCGCCAAAACATTCATGAGGAAATCATTTACATTTACAATTGGTAATTTTATCTCGGACAAAGACATTGGAAATGTAAATATTCATTTATCAATCACTAACTCACTTTAACGTGACATAGTTGGCTTTTAGCTGCAGATCTGTAGCGTTATGGTTTTATATATTTGTCTTTTACCATAACATTATGGTCAAAGAAAAATATATAAAACCCATAACTGGTGAATTGTTAGTTGCTGGCTTACATTGATACTTATTTTCTATTACAACAAACTTAACCTGCATCCTTTTCCTTATAGGGTTGATTTTTATAGTGTAATATAAAATAAGATTTTCGAGCAACATCCTAATTGGTGAATTGTTAGTTGCGACTTATATTTCCCCTTCCTTTTCCATTAATGCAACAACCAAGATCTTCGAATGTTGTTAAGTCACCACAAACGAAAGAAATATGACACTTTCTGTAATGTCATTGTCATCAGTCCCGGGGGTTAAATATCGTTTGTAATATGTATTAATATACCAATACTTGCATGGATTCATGATTTCTATACTAAAACGTAGTAAAGTTTTAGTTGTAAAAATCGTTTGCAATCATTAGTAATCACACCAAACAGTAAGGCAATGTGTTCAATGGTTGTACTTTGAATTTTAAATCAAAAAGATATTTTTCTTGTTTATTTGTCATGGTTATATACATGCTGCATGTATATAGAAGTCATTTAATTTTCTTTAAGTTGAACTTCGCAGTACAAGATACATTTCTATCTGATACCAAGCCATCCAAAGGGAATCCAAAAATAAAATTAATGGGAAAGGTCTTACATTTTTACAATGCTAGTACCAGCAATGCCTAGCATGGTCTTGGCTTTGGCATCAGAGAACAAAATCAACAGTTCTATTGCTTATTTATGCTTTGGAGAATTACCATTCCTACAAATAAAATGTTTGAACTGAGTAAATAAAAATTGTGAATATCATAGTCTTTGGATCAGAGGGTCTGATGTTGATTATAATTTTTATGTAAAAGTGGTAAAATCCGGAAAAATTAACGTTTTATATTAAGTTTTGCTGTAGAATAACGAGTTAGATTAAACTTGAATTTCATAATTCGACTTCTTTGAAATAAAAATTACTGAAAGTCACCAGCTTGTCATTTAGGTTTTTTATGCGCCCGAATCGAAAGATCCGAGGCGTATATTGTTTTTGTCCTGTCTGTTTATCTGTTTGTCTGCAAACTTTAACCTTCGTCATAACTTTTTAACCATGAATGAAAGAGGCTTCATATTTGGTATGCATACTCAACAAATTAAACTCTTTCAAATGACGTCAAGATTATTTCGGGTGGTAACTAGGATAAAAGGCCAACTACCCTAAAAGTGAACACTTTCTAAACTTACCCAAGGTAACCTCGTAAAACAGATTTGACTGTAAATGTGTTTCTAGTTTAAATTTATTTAATAAACCAAATTGCACAAACCCAAATCATTGCACAAAACATTATAAAATGCTTTTATGCGTTTCCCTGTGCAGGAATAGTATATTTCCCCATGTTCCACCATTTAGTGCTGGATTTGTGTTTTACAATTTTTTTTTCAAACTTCCTGGTTTAACAAGAATTAAATATTTAAAATTTTGAAACATTTGACAGAAAACAGATATATGGAGTGTGATTAAAAATAGTGATGTACCCTGACCCCACCCGGACCGCACGTAATAAATTTAAATGTTTAAAAAGCAAGTCACGTGTCGTTTTTATCAAAGAACATACATGCTCTATCAGACTGCTGTCTAGCATGGTTTAGTGTCTACCCCCGCAAATAATTGACAACCATAAACCCTGTGTGGTAAAATGACAGCGGAAGATTCCTATACAACATGGATGGCTGATCTATCCCCAGAACTAACGCGTATACCTGTATGTTCATTAGCAATACCAGGTAAGATCAAAGGGAAACAACTCCAGTTCACAACAGTAGCTTTATCTATTGAATCCTTGTAGGTGTACGAGTTGTGTTTATTTAGATTTTTCAGTAATTTACAGATCTTCCCTATTGAACCGAAATAATCTAATCCTGTCTTGGTACTGTATGTCTACGTAAGATAATACCCCCTTCAAAAATGGGTATCAGTTGATAGGAAAATGGGCGATTCACTTTTGTTTTCAAATGACATCATCAGGCTAAAGTGTAGTAAAATCGATTCTTCTAAATGCAACTAAATATGTATTAACAACCCTCTTTAAACAAAAGTATAGACACAAAACGATATCACTCATCTTCGCTATAGCAAAGAGTTTCTGATCCACACTAGGGTTTGTGAGGCTAATAGTGGATCAGTGACAGTTCCCTTGGATAGCGAAGATGGATATCATTGGTTGTGAGAATTCTATGCTTTAGGTCTACTGCAGAATCCCACTATTTCTCATTGGTCCTTTCAGGGTCACATGACTCGGGTGCGTACTGGCTAGATAAGGCTGGTGAAATCGCTGAGGACGAACCGCCGATACTCCGGAGGATGGCTAAAAGCTGCTGTTGTGTTGTACCTATCGTCCATCGATGGTCTTTGACACAAAATCTGACAGTTAAAGAGCAGTTGGAACACGGAATTCGCTACCTCGATCTACGCCTGTGTGGGCGCCCCGGAAGCCCAGATGTGTATGTGGCTCATGGCCTCTATGGTAACAAACTTGAAGATATTCTTATGGAAATCAAAGAATTCCTGAACGAGAATCCGAAAGAGTTTGTTATTCTGGACTTTAACCATTTTTATAACATGACTTCTGTTGACCATAGACAAGTTTTACATCAAATCATCGGAACATTTGACGCCAAGATTCTCAGTGGGGATACTTCTATGTCGGTTTGGAAAATGACATTGGAAAACCTCTGGAAAACTCCAGCGAGAGTAATGGTGTTTTATGGTCACCCATCTCGGAATGAATTCCCTTTCTTTTGGTCTGAGGAATATATCCAGTCTCCATGGGCCAACACCGCCAGTTCTTCAGCCATGGTGAACTTTCACGAATGTAATTATAACCAAAACGTAAGGAGGGGAGCGGGTGAGTTGTACGTGTGACAGGGAATACTGACGCCATCGGCAAAGACGATAATCGCAAACTTATGTTCATCCCTCGAGAGTAAACTTGTTCCTCGAGCAAATCCAGCGTTCTTGGGTTGGCTAAGAAGAAAAGTTCCGAGTCATGTTGGTATAAATATTTGCGCTGTGGATTTTGTGGAAAAGCATGATTTTGTTCGCGAAGTTCTTTCATTAAATACACGTATACAGTCTTAAAATCTATTGTACAATATATGTGCATTCTATTTTCAAATGACTATTATCATTGCAAACATATTACTTAGGCCAACTTTAAAAAAATGTTTTGATTCATCATTGCCAACTGTTGACTAGGTTTTGGTCTAAAACGATCCAATACAAAACTTTTTCATTAACATCCAGGAAACTACGTGTATTTTTTTCTTCTCACCCATTATGTACCATACAACAAATTTTGAACATATCTTGATTTTTCTGTCTTAATAAAAACAAGTGCGGGAATAATGAGCAATAAAAATCTGGTGACCAATGATAGAATTCTGTGTTTATCCAAGTGACTTTCGGTGAAGATCAATTCATTTTGGCTCACAATTTTCTAAATTAGACAAAGGTTGATTTTTCAAAACATGACATCCAACATAAATGGAATAGTTTTTAACATGAAACTTGCAATAAAAAACCCACTCGAGGTCAAAGATTTGGTAGGTATATTTAGGGCCTAAGACTAGATTTTACTTAGCTGTCATTTGTATCTTAATGATATGGCTTATTACTGAATCAGCCTCCTTTTGTTTGTTTGCAATTTGTTTGGCCTCTCCTGGATCCCAATTGGACAAATAAAATTTTGTTTTAATGTTTTATTCCTGGTCATTAGTAGTAATTTTCTGTAAAATTCTCATTTAAAACCTAGATCTAGACTACACTACCTTTTTGGTTTCAATACACAAAGTGTTGAAAAAAAATAACATGAACACATCAGAATTTTTAAGTTTTATTGAGACTACACAACCTTGAGTCATGGTCCACATGACCCAAACTACAACAAAGATATGGCCAGTCATTCATACAACCAGGGGGCTTCACAAGCAGCATAGTTCATAATCTCATCGGGTTTGAACCACAGATCAATTTCCCGCTTGGCACTCTCTACAGAATCACTGCCGTGACATATATTCCTGAAACACAGAAAAATCAATGCAAGTAATCTTATATTGATGCAATTAATTATATGCCTCAACTTCTTGATAAAATTAATTAAGGTTCTGTGAACTTATTGGGAAAAGGCATGATCATTGAACACACACACATATATATGTACAAGTTTCCTTTTTTCAGTACTATCATAAATGACATGTTTTACGACTTTGTTATTTTCTTGGCCATAATGCTATCCAGGTTCAATAAGTAGCTTAATCAATATTTCTTATTTCCTACTGACCTGCCAACATCGATACAGTAGTCTCCCCTGATGGTTCCTGGGTTGGATTCCAAAGGATTGGTGGCTCCCAGCATTTTTCTGCCTGTCTTAACTACATCTTTTCCTTCCCATACCTGTAAATTATTTCTATATCATTTAAAGTTTTTTTTAAATTACTTTAAATTTAATATTCACAATCATAATATAATTAAAAAGAAACATTTTCCATAAAAAGTTTAGGGTTTTAAAATTTCAAATTTCATTAACTGATGATAAAACAGCAAATTATTTTCCTTCAGTATTGTCTAATAAAAGTAAATTAGACTTGCCATGGCTACAACTGGTCCACTGGCCATGTAGGTGACCAATCCTTGGAAGAATCCCTTACTGGACAGATCTGCGTAGTGTTTCTCCAAGTGTTCTTTTGATGCCTGTAACAGAAATTCTTTTTATTATAATAAATACATATAGTATGACCAGGCCATAAATATGACTGACAGTCAATATGGGAAATAAATGTTCCTTGGTTCAATCTTCAAGTCTTGTGCAAGACTGAAGACATCAAATTTTCTACCTCCCAAAGTTTCACAGACAAATCATTATGATTTACATAGTAGTATAATTACACCTCTATTTTGAACAATCTTAGTAAAAAGTTTATTCTTTTCTTCAATAAAATCATTATGGAAGGTCTGTTAAAATAACCAATATGGGTCTTGGGACATTTTATTTAAAAATTAATACAATGTTGACATTTGGAACTCTAGATTGTTCCCTGAGTATACAGGTACATTGGAATTATCTGCCATTATTAGTTTTCATAATGACATCACACAGGGAACAAATTCTAAGACCAAATTAATTCTATTGTTAAACAGATTCTGTAAGACAATACCATTTTTACAATAAAACAAATCATAAAGGAATCAATTCCATATCTACTAGATACTGTAAATGTTTGAAAAAAAATAGTTATCTGAAAATGCCCCCCCCCCCCCATCCGGGAAAAAATCTGGTATATATCTAAATATATACCAGTGACAAGCCAAAAATCAGTTACATTCAAACTCTGTTCTTTAGTAAGCAATGTTCAGTGTAAACTTACCAAGGAACACATTAATAAATCTTATTTTTCGATGCACTGAACAAAATGCTATGATAAATCTGACAAATGCATATGATGTATAAATACATCGTTTAGCCCCATCCCCCTTTTTTGGCATTTTGACAATCATGCAATAGATTAATCCTTTTAATTAAGTTATTCATTAGTTACTTTAAGTATAACTCACGGAAAGAACCAAGAGTCACCGGGAATGTACCATGCAAGAAGAAGAGTTACCGGCATATATTTTAATAAATAATTTATTAAATTATTATCATTCTTTTCAACTATAATTTACCTGCATTTGTTTACAGGCAACGAGTTTGTAGCCTCTTTGTTCAAATCTCTTCATAATTTCACCGACAAGTCCCCTTTGGACTCCGTCAGGCTTGACCATAATAAATGAACGTTCGCTGTTGGCAGCCATCTCTGATGAAAAGGAAGAGAAGATAGCAAGCAAGGTCGCGACCATGTGGCTCACTACGTAAAAGGAAGTTCCCGGAGACACCGGTATGTCACGTGGCCCCTAAACTGGTTTTTATTTACCATGGGAACCAGTCAGTGCCCGAAAATTAGATCGTACATCATTATATTCGTAGTGATATTAATATAATTATTCCTGTGATTTTTTGCATTATATTCATTTAATTTGTACTATTATCGAGAGATATAAAAGTTATCTTTAATTGGTTTTACTCCTTTCATGGGCGTCGGAAGCAAATTGAAAGGGGGAGGGGTGTTAATCGAAACTGGGTGAGCTAAGCAAACAAAAAAAAGTAAATCCCAATTTTCAATGCCTATTTTTGCAAAAAAGTGGGAAAGGGGCTAAGCCCCCCTAGCCCCCCCCCCACCCCGGTTCCGACGCCTATGCCTTTAAGCTGTAACCAACCAAATGAATTGCCGTTTTCCACTTTTGGTTGTCTTGACTGACCTCCATACAAAAAGATATAAATTTTCGTCAAGGAAGAGATTGATTTAATGTATTACCAGTATAAATACACATATCAATTGTTAAGACCCTCTCTTCTCTCCTTCAAATTTTATCACCAATGAAATTATGTTTAAAAATCTTTATTTTCGGTTGAAAATTACCAATTTTCTTAGGGCCTGGGACTATATTAAAGAAGACAAACACTTATAAAATGTGAATATCTAGGTGTAAATATTTCCAGTTACATTAAATACTTACAGTCATTTTATTTGTTGATTTATATATATAAAGTAAAAGAAGAAATAAACTCCTTAATGGTAAAATGTTATTTTATTGTTTTATTCAGAAACGACGATATATTAATTGTCTTTTCCAAGTAAAAAGAGGAAATGAGAAGTAAATTCATTTCAAATCTTTTATCTGACAAACAAATGTTTTATGACATCGTTTTAACCTTTTATACATCAAAATATTCCATATATACATTTGTTTCACTTGTCTGTACTGTCATCACTTTAGAGTTTGTTCCTATGGAAGTTTTTGATTGTCACATGTAACAATACTGGGACACTCTGTTCACAATGATTGTCCTAGCGAAACACAATATTGATATCGATGCATGTAATAAAGTTCAACTGGCCACCTCGTTATCACATAAAAAATATCCTAATTCCATTTAATGGCGCGAACTGTGCGATCTACTCACACTGATCCTGCTGGACGAAGGCGGAAATCGATCTCCCTTTCCGCTTCTCATACGGCTCATGTGTGTTTCGTGATTATGCAAACGAATTGAAACATTATTCAATTCTTGCTCCGAAAGTGTTTTCTGTTTTTTCGCACTGTTATTCTCTTCACCTGACGACCTACTGGACAGACTTTGGCGTAGAGCTGGTGCGCTTTTGGGATGGTTTAACCTCATTACTATTTCCTCTATCCCTTCCTGGTCAAGCTCCCTGAATGCCGGGGCACGTGGAACGACATACTCCCCTCGAGAATTCGCATCGAACAGCCTTCTTCTCATTCGCCTCTGTAAGGCTTCGGTCCTCTGTTCCTCTTTTTCTTTCGTTCTGAGACTGAAGGTGCGCGTCACTTTGGTGATTCTATGTTTACCAAAGGGCTCTGGACCTCCATAAATGTGCCGTATATTTAGATCAGTTATTCTCTTATTTGTCAACCAAAAACCAGCCATTTTTTTCAAAACACACCACCTGGAAAAGTTGTTTTACATTGGACGTCTAACAACAATTAAGCTCTTTCGATTATTACGAATTTTGAATTATGCCGTGTACCCTGTAAGATGTGATGCAAACCGTGCAAAAACATAATTAGTGTAAGTAGATTAAATTTCTTAACCATATAAAACAAAAACACTCCGTTCCTTCAGTTTATTTAATCTATTATAATGCGGTCACTTACGACTGTTTGAACGTTTAAAGGGACAAACAAGAGAACTATAACTGACATAAATGACATAGAATTAAAGTTTAGATGTTTTTGTTTTAGCATGGCGAGCCGTCTTCAAGTCAAAATTAAAACGCATTTAAAGAATTTCACACGTCACTCAACAAAACAATAGTTGTGTATTCAACACTATTCAAGACTCGTTTAAATTTGACACCCCCCTTAATTTCTTTCAAATCAACACTTCAAGACGGACCCTCGGTTCAGCTTGTTAATAGGTACCAAAGATTCCCTCGATTTGGAGGTTTTGAACACAACGGAAGAAAACATTTAAAAAAAAAAACGAGATAGCAAGATCAGTACTGGCAGATACAATATTTATTGACATTAGCGAAAGACTGGAGTGATTCCCAAAGCTAGACGAGTATCAATTAATGCATTCAGATCAGAATGACCATTTGTACTTAATTATAGAAATCCGCCATCTGCCAGGGTGTGGAATCTCTCTCATGAAAGACTGCGAGTGCTAAATTAGCACTAGTATACTGTTTTTGGATGTTACCGAATTTACTGCATACCAAGGAAAATGTATATATGATCAAAGTAATCTGTCTTTGTACAAGACAACTTTCTGGAAGAGTGGTCAACTCCTTGAAGAATTCTTTATTGAACACTTGATTTTGAATATGCGTTGCTTTGAAAATTTCCCAATACAGTATGCGATAATTCATATATAATATATTTTAATTTATATACATACAGTACAAAATTATATAAAAGTACAATGTATTTTTATATTTTCAAAAGTGAAATAATGTTTTGTATACATACGATATAATAAATTATTTACGTATTATGTGATTTCATGCATTTGAAGACATAAAAGTAGTCATTTCAAGCATAAAAAGTAAGATATTATATTGTCTCTTTGTATCATGTACAACGTTAATAATTCAAACACAATCAACGTGTATACAATATTTAAATATGTTCATAGTAGTGTTGGTTTGATCAGAAGATTTGATTACACGGATACAATGCACTTGCTAACAGTCTTAATGATAGATTACCACGTGTGATTCGAAGAACAAATATATTATGGTATATGACGACCTTCTTTGTCTTGATAAACTCTCAATAGGGAACGTTTTCTAAAAGGCTTGTATGGAAATGAATAATGTATACCATTTATCCACTTCATTCAACTTCATTCAAAGTACACATTCTATTTCAATGTTGAAGATTCCATTTCTTGATAATCTCTGCGTAGTCTGTCCTGTGAGCTTGAGCACTGGTGGCGCGTTCTAGAGCACTGCGTCTTCGCGGCGGAGGTAGCCTGACCCCTCGACTGCTCCTCACTCGACTCATGTAGGTCTCGTGACCGTGCAGACGAGCAGAAATGTTACACAAGTCTCTCTCTGTCACTGGTTTTGCTGACTTCGCTCTCCTCTTTTCCCTATCAGTTTTGGATTTGTCCGAATGATGGCAGTTGGTAGCAGTTTTTGGTCGATTTAACCTTGTGACAATGTCATTCACTGAATCATAATTCACTTCATTGAAAGCTGGAGCTTTCGGGACCACAAACTCACCTCGTGAGTTCCTGTCAAAGAGGTGTCTCACGGTTCTCCTTCGCATGGCTTCAACCCTCTCCTCTTCTTTTTCTTTGCATCTCAGATAAAACGTCTTGGATTCTCGAGGTGAGCTCACTTTCAACGGTTTCAGCCCGCCATAGATATTCCTGATGCCATGAGCAGTGATTTGATTATTTGATAGATAAAATCCCGCCATCGTTTCCTTTAACAGAGTGGAATGGTTGCCGGATTCTGTCACTCCTTGTCCGATGCCGCATTAGCGTCTTTTTGAGATACGTGGCTTCCAGATCTAATTTCCCATTAGAAAGTTTCCAAGTTGGTCTAATATCTAACCCACTTAGCTCTTTGTTCTGACTTAAAATAACAAAAAAACATTTTCTGTTATCTGGTATATCCAATCGTTAACCATAAGGCGCCCTCTATTGTAAAAATTAAATGCTCAGTAGTTCACACCAAACAAATCATCTACTGCGTTTATTTTGGATATAAGGGCTTGTATCCAGAAATATAAATCAAAATATAAATATTTATAATATGGTCTTTATTTTGAAAAACATACTTCTATGTAATCACAGCAATCCTTTTATGATATTGCTTACACAAAGACTTACATTAGGGTTCTTATAATGTGTAGATATTATCTTAGAATACCATCTTCTTAACATTCAACTTTACGATAACGTATATTGTCTTTTATAACCAGAAACGAAAAACTATAAGCATTTTAAAAAATAGTAAATCCACTGCAGTTCTTCTCGTTTTGCTCTCCCGTTCGGTTATTTAAAACGTTAGGCCACATAACACTGCATATGAAAACTTGTTTAAACTGTTTGACTATTCCTCCTTCTTTAAAAAAAGTTTTTATTGTTGATTTTATTTAACATAGAAAAGAAGGAAAATACAAAATAAAAAAAAACAAAACAAAAAACAAAAAACAAGCAAACAAACATGATCTGCAACTAGAAGCATTATATGGCTACAAATAAAAGTAAGTAGGATAAGACAAGGATGCATAGTAGGTTCCTGTAAATGTTCCAGCAAGCTTCTTTACTTTTGCCTGCGTTGCACAGGGGTTAGAGCGTCTTTACTCCCCACTAATATTATAATATTAGCAGAGAAACTTCAACAATACTATTCAAAAATAGATTCGAGAAGTGGTGTAAATCAGACGTGGATACAAAAAAAAAAAAAAAAAAAAATCCAAGGAAATTTTGGAAAAATTGAAATCACAAAATTTCACCCAAATCAACAAACTGAAAATTTAGTTACGACTTTTCAACTTTATATACCTCTATTCCCTAAGATAAATTAAAGTCCATGCTTTTTGATATCATTGACAACTGTCTTTTCAATAAAAATGTAACTCGTAAATACATGCGCGGATCTAGAGGGGGGTGGGGGGTCGGAGGGGTCAGGACCACCCCTGGAATTTAAAAGGTTAAAAAATATATATACTAAAGCAAGAAAAAAGTGACCATGGACCCCGCTTGTAAAACTGAACCCCCCCCCCCCCCGGTAAACGCGAATAGGTGTGAAATTGGTATGAAAAGTGAAAGACTTGAGGCAATAGAAGTCAGAGATTAAACACCCCCCCTACGAAATAGGTTTTTGACGTTTGAGCGAGTGTAGTTTTTTTTTCTTTTTTCGTGTCTAGAAATTTCTGGGATTGGATTTTTTTTACTGGGGTGGACCCCCCTTGGAAAAAATTTCTGGATCCGCGCCTGAAATATACGCCATTTGCAAAATTATTTTGTGAAAAAAAAACATTCTGATTGTACTCATAAGTCATTGGCGTCGGAAACAAATTAAAAGTGGACGAGAAAGAGAAAAAAATTCCAAAAACTACAACAGCAAAAAAAAAAAATGACGCAAAAAAGAAAATTTTGTCCATTGTCCAAAAACGAAAAAATAGGGAGGGGGTTCAAATTTTTTCGGTACCATTTTTTCCCAATACACTACCACTTACTCTTTTTTGACTTCGATTGAAACGTGACTGTTGCATGTTGAAAGTCCGACGTAGGCCTATGGAAGCATTCTCAGATAGTTTATATTGCGAGATTGTTCAAATCATGTCCCCAGTAATGATCAAATGTTTACAAAAGAATACACAAATAAAACGCCCAAGTGCATGATAAGTTATATTTTAGAAGTCAGTTGGTGTATGCTCAGGTGAGCGATGTGGACCATGGGCTTCTGGTTTTCTCACAGGCACCTGAAGTATGGATAATACCCCCCCCTTTTTTTTTAATCAAGTGTTTTTGTGTGTGTGTGTGTGTGTGTGTGTGTGTGTGTGTGTGTGTACAAATATCATGAAATAAATATCTCAACTCCGTTGACTTGAATTAAATCAGTGACGTATAACAATACGTCACTGATTAAATGTTGCAGTCCACTGAAAATCAGGCAATGGGTGGCACATCGCATGTCATGGATTTTTATTATTTTTTGCATATAGACTTATTTAAGCAAATGTTTACAAATGACAACATCAAAAAAAATTTTAGTGCTCCACTAGTCCTATTTTTGGTAATTGCTCAATTTTAAGTGCAAAAAGGTCAACATGGGGGTAAAAAAAATCACTACGTTTTTATTTTGTTTTATATGTACCAGATACGCAAAACCTGGATGTGTCTATCAATATTATTTATACCATAGACTCTTATCTTTAATTTTAGTAATGAATAAGACTCCAATTTATATTTCTTTAGAAAAAAATATGTGGTCCAAAATTGAGTTCAGCAACTAACTTTTTGAATTCTTTATCCAATTTTCATTACGTTATAAAACCCAATACATTTCAATGACAGATTTTTTTTCTCATGTTATTATGAATACAAAGTACAAACTTTTGAGTCACTCAATAAAATCAGTGGGCACCCTTATATTGAGAGAAATAAAAGGAGTCAAATTTACCTATGTTTTACAATTTTTCACAATTAAACCGATCCCGACCGGAATTATATAAAGAAGGAAATACTATAATTGTAATGTTAAATTTGGCTCTTTTGTTGTAATATGGCCAAAAAATTACTTGATTTATTTTTGTACATGTCTTATGGGTGGCAGTTGTCTTTAGTTTTATAACTTTACATTTTGCATTATTTTCAATCGGGATCGGTTTTATTTCAATCGGGATAGGTTTTTACCGTAAAACTAGAAATATTCTGCATTTAATTAATGTATCAGAAAAAAATATGCTTGTCATAGGCGTAGTCACAGGGGGGGGCAGCGGGGGCACTAGCCCCCCCACTTTCAGATGTGGGGGGGGTTTGTGCCCCCCCACTTTTTAAAAGAACAACAAAATCACAGCT